AAGAAAGAGATTATAAATATCGTTAACTGTTTCCATTGAATTCATCACGAGTGTTTATTACAAGTTTATACATCAACTAAAAAGGAGGGAAAGGAGGTTGACAATTAATCAACAGAAAGTAACTAACTTCCAACTGCCATGCATGCTGAGATGGTGAGAAGTGTCACTTGATCTTGATCATCTTGCTTCAATTCTTCTCCTGAAATTATACACTACATTTTGGTATGCATGTATGGTGTAATTGAACTATAATATGTTTGTAAAAAATTGAGTTTAATGAAATATGTAATTCAAAATACAAGATGGAATGATGACGCCGGAGGAAAAGATGATGGGCTTGGAACGACGTCGTGAGGGCAGCCTATGGTTTGGTTCTTGAGGTCGAGTAGGCATAGCCCTGCGGGGCGGATGAAAGCGGCGGAGAAGGCTTAGTATGGTACGCCGACTTGGAGCTCCGTGCCCTCGATGTCCGTCACAGAAGGTGAAAGGGGAAACTCTCTTAAGGAGAAGGCAAAGGGGACGAATGATAATAAGGTGACGAAAAGAAGCAGAAGAGACTTCATTTTAATTGGTACGTAATTTACTAGATCAGAATATTTTTGTTTACGAGCTAGGGACTAGGGAGGATTGATTTGGCCGGGTTTGGTCTGGAGATGAGATGGTATAATAAGGTGGTATTTATAGGAAGATCAAACCAATTTAACTGAAATTTTTCTGACAATATAATAAGCAATATAATTCAACCGGAAAACAGTTGACGTGGTTTTTATGTACAAAAGTTCACGTAAAGGTGCGGTAGTACGTAGTTGTTCATGGGATTTCACGCAAAACTCTAAACATTGCTCAATTGCTTTCTAGCTTGGAACTGTACTTACTGTTTCCATTAAATTATAATTAGGTTTCTATATCTACTATACTAATAAGAGTCCAAGAGAGTTAGGCCTATAATGGGTAGAAAAAATGGCGGTCACAGATTTTAATCAAATGAATGGCTCAGATTAATTAAAAGATTTATCAGATTTAAATTTTACACTAAAATTTCCTAAAATACCCACACACTGTTACTAATTCCGTTAAAATTTTAAGAATTGCCGTTAGTTCACTGTTAACTTACTCATTGATTTCAATAAAAAAATGTCTTAGGTTCGAACCTCATCCCAATCAAAGTTGGCATAATTAGTACTCTATTTTACTCTTATTAAATTATATATAAATAATAATTTAGTAGTTACAACAAAAAATAATACATATGCATTTCTAATCTATATCTATATATTCTATATATATATATAAAAGTAAAATCCTCCTAACAAATTTTTCCCCCAAAACTTTTGTAGTAAAACTTATTTGGTAAGTAAATGTAAAATAGAAAGTATATGAACAGATACTACAATGTAATAGAGCCAGTAACTTTCAAAAAAAAAAAAAAGTTAGAATAATTATGTGTCCACAATGCCTTTATTCAAAAAAAAAAAAAAATTATTCATTATCAATCAATTAAATAAGAGAAATAATTTTATTAGTTATATTGTCTTTAATTGATTATATTCACTACATTATCCTTACAATGTCTTTATTCAGTGAAATTTTTTTTATTAATTATCAATAAATTAATTAAAAGAAATATTTTCATTAGTTATATTGTCTTTATTTTTCTCAAATGTAAAATTTTTTACATTCAAATTCATCAATTGATTATATTCACTACATTATCTATTATCTTTTTTGTGCACTATTTTTCTAATTAAATATCAAAGTTATAATACAAAATAATGCTCTATATTTATTTACCAAGTATTTTATTAATACCATGAAAAAATTTAAAAAATATAATTAATAAAGCCAACCATATTAACTACTTGAAAGATTTTGTGACAACGAGAGTATTCAAATCACACAACAAATTGAAGTGAGAACTACCTCGCAATGTCCTTGTTTGACAATCAGCAGTTAGCGGTTAACGTTAGCGGATTATACTAGCGGATTTGACCAGCGAATTTATTTAATTATTAACATTGGGTATAAAAAATGACCGCCAAATTATTAAATCAAATGAATGGTTCATATTGTTCAGGTTTTAATTTTTTCTTTTAAGATTTTCTAATTTATCATTAATTATATGATTATCCATTTAACTTTTCCGTTAATTCACTGTTAGTCTAATTCTAATATTAAAGTCTAATATAGAATTATAACTACACCATTAATCTAATTCTAATATTAAAGTCTTAATAGAATTAAACCACGAATCCTAATGTCGGAATCTCCTCAAACAATATTAGTATATATTTAATATTTTATGTCCTAATTTTTATTTTTTCTCCCTTATGTCCCGTATTTGGTTTCAACGATACATATACAATTATTTTATTGACAATTATAATCAATCTTGACTATATTATCTTGCATTTGTAAACTTAGAATTACCTATTTAACCCGCACGGGCTTAGCTCAATGGTTTAGTGGGTAATATTTGGGAGAAGAGACAAAGGTTTGAACCTCGGCGGCGGCAGTGCGGGAATTATGTCCAAAGTGGGCAGATTCCTTGTGCGTATCAGCATTTGGCCCTGTCTGCTGAACCATTGAGTCACCGTGAGTTACAACTTCCCACAATGCTCTGTCGGGTCGGAGTGTGGGGGGCCCTTGGGGTTGGGGACTCAACCTTTGGGAGAAGAATTACCTATTTAAATACGCAAATTCAACCTTCCATTATCTATGCATGAACAATTTCAATATAATCCTGTCTTAATATACTTTAAAGTACTTATTTAAAAAAAAAAAAAAAGCATTGGGCATTATCTCAATCGCGTAATGCGCGTAAAAAAGTAGTATATTAATACATGTTCACCTTGGTATACCGAACCACGGCCTTGAGTTAGACCCAATGGATCATCCCATTGGGCCAAGGGTGTAACCCAAGACTAATAATAATAACTAAGTAAAATCTAATATTGCAAACTAGCTAGGGCAATTTATATCATGCACCACGGCGCACACAGCAATGTGTGCCAAGGCACAAAACGCGCGCGTTTTAATTGCTGACATAGTGACGTCACCCTGTTTATTCAAACGGCCCAAACCCCATTATGTGTATTCAATTAAAAGTTTCTGTGTATTGTATTATGATTTTCTGTGTATTCAGTTAAGTGTTTTTGTATATTCAGTTAAGAGTTTCTGTGTATTATGTATCATGTTAGATTATGTATATTCAGTTATGAGTTTCTATGTATTCTGTTATGAGTTTATGTGTATTCAAAACATAGTTTTTTTTTTTTTTTGAACAATGCATCAAAACAACGTCGTTTTGAGTAGGACTGAGCGCACAATGCATTGTGTGCCATGGTGCACGATATAACGACCGACTAGCTAGTGAAGGTTATGATCAATTAAAACAGAATATTGTTAAAGCCTCCAATTCATGATCATCAAATCAAAAATATTTAAAAAATTTAATCATGACCATCAAAATTAAATTCTTTTTATTGATATGAAGGCGGAATTTAGTAAATAATTTGTTCAAAATACCCTTTCAAATAAAATAAAAAAGATACAACATTAACACATTATTATTTCACAAAGCAAGCACATTGATCCACACCAATACATAATAATATTATTATGTATGTTTAAGGCGCTAGCTAGAAAGTGGCATGGGCGTGGGGCGTGGTGGCATTATACTTGGAGAAGGTGAACTGGAGCGGCTTAACACCAAAGCCTATGCCCAAACGGTTGTATCCATTCTGCTGTATCAACCCAACGGGGTAGCAAACGGGCACGCGGGGCACTGGGATTGTTACACAATAAGCGATCTTATATCCCGACCACTCTTTCTGGACCTGGAATAAGGCGCCGCCGACGCCGGCGGTTGGATCTGTCGTGACGTATTTCCGGAAGACATCGACGTCAGCTAATCCCCAAAAGATCTCTTGGATACATAATAGCCCCGCGGCGGAGACAGGAAACCGGACGGTGTATGAAATGCCTTCCTTGACGACGTTGCCGGCGGTGACGTTGGCGGGGGTGTTAAAGATGATGGGCCAGCCCAGGATGGAGGACTTGGAGAATATGCTGCACTGAACGACGTCGTGGGAGCAACCTTTGGTTTGATTCTTGATGTCTATTAGGCATAGTCCCGGCTGGAAGATGAAAACTTTGGAGAGGGCGTTGTATGGTAGCCCCAGTTGAAGCTCCTTGCCTTCAATGTCGATCACAGACGCCCCCGACGCTGAAGAAGAAGAAGGAAGCTGTCTTGATGGGAAGGCAAAGGGGACGAAAGTTAAGGTGACGAAAAGGAGCAGAAGAGTAGCCTTCATTTTGGTGCGAGCTGAGTGCTCTGTTATAGTAGAAGGTTCGCATTTATAGCCAGGAGGACAACTCAATTATGGTTTTATTTATATATAATAATTCGAAGGTACAATGGTTAGATAGCTACGTGCCTACGTAGGTTAATATAATCTTGAAATTCGTCCTATAATTACTTTCCAGATCGGAGGAGTATCTCGTGAAATGTTATCGATCAGCAAAGGCTGCAGTTCGGATCGTACATTTCAATCATTTTAATATCAATTTACATTTCTTCATCGACTATATCTGTCTCGCTGTACCTTACTAATCCAAACGACAGATATATATTCATCTTCCCTGCGAGTTGTACAATCGCTATCTACATGATAAGAAATATGGGTCCCAAAATGTGTTTACAATGTCCTTTTACCACCATTCTTTTAACAATCAATTAACTCTGTGTTTCCCATCAACTGTTCTAGAAAAAGAGAAACATATACAATAGAAATGTACAATTTAATGTTAAATTTTAAAATTAATTAACACAATTAACTTTCTCATAAATTTAAAAAAGTTCATAAAATCTAAGATGATAAATAAAAAAAATCCCAATGAAAGAGTAAATTAGAGCACAAAAATTTCGGGAGAGAGGATTAGCTCTCCAACCATTAAAAAAAAAGTAGAGAACTGATATGCATCGTACTGGTAGGAGTGGTAGCTCAATTGGGATTTGGGCTACATGATTTTCTACTGTGGAAATTTTGTCTTGCCGTGAAAATAGCCCTCATGATAAGTCGGTTTATGTTGTTTCCAATTTCGATAAAATTACCAAATTTAAAATACATCACAGGAGACGATGATAACATAATTAATGGATCTTTAAAAAACAGATTGAGATTCGTGAGAAATCGTAAACATTTTGAAATTCATCTTTTTCCCTGTGACGGGAAACATGGAAAAAACAATAGTAGAACCCAAACTTGCAAATCCCTTGGAAGAACAGGATTCTAGTCTAATGAGCCACCACCCTAATGATGATAAACAGTTAATCAGACACTCCCAATCCTTTTACATAATAATCCAAAATTAAAATATAAACTCTGCAAGTGAATATATAATATGGCCACCGCCAACTATAGATTCATCAAAATGTTCAGGACCGAATGGGAAGGAGTACAAGTAGTAACCGAATCATCGCAAAATGCATCAGAGACAACAAAGCAGCCGGCCACTGAACCTAAACACCACTTGGAGGAGCAGACTCCGATTCTGACTTGTCTGTTTCCATTGGCTCAGTGGCAGAAGTTGCTTCGAATCCGCCCTCGCCCGCATTGCTATTTTCATTGGGGTTCGGGCCCTCTCCACCTTGAGAATGTTTCTCACTGCTTTGGGAAGTTTGTGGTGATGATGGTTCAGTAGTAGTAGGCTTGGCTGGCTTGGGTTTCGTCATTATAGGCCTGCAAATCCTGTAGAGATGAAGCAGAAGAAATCAGTGAACTAATGATGGTCCACACATGATAAAGATGATGGAAGAAAATCATGCATATAGTATTGCACATATTGAGAACAAAAGAACATCTTCAGCCTTCTTTCTTATATCAGCAGACAAAAGATATTAATGCTATTAATTAATGATATAACAGTACCTATCAACAGCTTCAGCCTTCTTTCTTATATCAGCAGACAAAAGAACAGGTGTGGCATACTTTGGAAGCGCATCCTGCTGCTGCTTTTTCTCTCTCAACCAAGCCTCAGCTTCAACACACTCATTCATGACCTACAATAGATAGTGTATAGCACAATGCAGAGCTTCCCATTAGTAAGACAATTTAACCATCAAATGCTAAGAGCACCAATTTCAGAATAAGGAAAAGCACAATAATGGAGGAAGAAATACACTGTTTGCTCACCTTCTGCTTGTCTGCTAATTCAATATGCTCAAACTTTGCTTCATTTGACATTGCAGCCTCTCTGTAACTATTGATGCAATAGACTAGTTGATCAATGACAGTTCCCCTATCCGTATACTCCTTGTAACGCTCTTCAATGGGATCACCTTGCTGCAAATCACAAACCAAATGTTATCTTGTCAAACATATTACATATACTCAACAAACAATAAAGAAAAAAGAATCAGATAAGCAGCCAAGATATAGAACAACTCAGTGGCCAGCTAAAGAGAAGAAAATTTATTACATAAGCAGCAAACTAAAGGAAACCTTTTTAAGTTCCTCAAGTTTGGCAATGTAGACTCCTTTTGTCTCGTCTTCTCCATCCTCATATAACCAATCTTCCACCTCTTGAAGTTTAGCAATTAACTGCTCTTTTTCCGAATCAACTACAAACTCTTGATACTTGTCGTAGAGCTGGAGACATTTAAATAGGGTTAAGGCACATGTAAAATGAGTACACTGCATCCAAGTTTTATTGAAAAATTATCACCAGAACAACCAAATAGTACCTTATTCCTCATGTCATAGACATAGGCCTCCACAGCATTCTTCTTGTCCTTTGTTTCTTCCATGATACGATCCTGCAATGCCATTTCAAATTCTTTTTCCACCGCCTTCTGTACATCGGCAGGTGACAATGCTCCATAAACCAATTCTGAGACTGGTACATTTGTTTTCTTGACCTTTTTCTTTGGGGCCTCAGCCTGAAAAGGTGAACAATGAATCTCTGGTAAGCACAGCTGATATAAGATGAAGTCACTGTAAGGTCTGATTGAGTAACAGGATAAGTTACAAAATCAAAGGAAAGAGCAACTGTATTACAACATATAACAAACCTTAGCATCAGTCTCCATTTGAACTGGTTTGTCTCCAGACTCTAGGACATGATTCTCAGAAGCATCTGATGTGACTTTATCATCTTGCATGTTAACATCAGTTTCAGAGGAATCTTGGGGAGGAATATCATCAGTTTCCATTTTGGTTGATTCTTTTAATTGTTCTTTAACAACTGGTACTTCCACCTCTTCTTCTTCTAGAAGCTAGAGAATATACGCAAGAAATCAATCAAGATTTGTACAACAGTAAAAAAGTATTTTCACCAGTCACCAAGAGAAACTTCGTCACTTACAGTTGCTGACTCAACAGAAACAATACCATGCAGATTCAAACGTACTTTAACCTTCAGCTTTGCACGTTCGCCCTTCCCAGATTGGAAAGGACCAATCTGTCCATAAATGCAGCAACAGTATTATGAGCATAAACATCATCAAATTCTGACTTTATGTATTACAGAGTAAATTACATATTACACAGATCATATAAAAAACAAACTTAATTACCGTGTAAGTACTGATTTTTGAAGGTGCCTGTAGTTCACTGACATCAGCATACTGTACATCAATCGAGAATGTGCCAGATCTGTAGAATGTCAAAGCTTTCACACTTGGTATTGGATTCCCCTTGGGGAAAACAATGGTGCTCTGTTGATTTTCAGCAGCTCCATTTTGGGCATCTGGAGAAGGTCCTTTCCAGGACAAAGCAATTGGGAAAGGGAAGCTCTCATTGACCTACAACCAACAAGAAAGAAAACTTTACAAACTCTTTAACTGGAAATGTTAGACTGTACACCCCACTGGAAATCCTTGAAGACCAGACATCTCAACAGTAAGGAATAAAGATCAATATTAAAAGGAGCTGAGCCAATAAAATTTACCTGAAAATCTCGCACTTTAAATGTTGGACTGAGAATGGCACACTGTAATGCACAGCCTTTAGAAACACATTCACTAGCATTCATTGTACGCCTAGGCTCCTTACCAAAGAACTCTGTCAAAATCTTAATAATAGCAGGTACTCGTGATCCAGACCCAATAACCTCAATAGAGTGAATATTTTCAACTGCAAGTCCAGCTTCTGCAATAGCTTTCTCCAATGGCTTCTTCACTCTTTCCAATATGGGAATACTAATTTGCTCAAATTCATCTCTTTTAATGAAACCCCTGACATCCTTCTCATCCATCAAGCACTCTATATTCAGAGGTGCCTCAGGATTAGCACTTAAAACCTTCTTCAACTTCTCACAGGCAGCGCGAAGTCTAAGGCAAGCCCTGGCATTCTGAAGGACATCAATCTTGTATTCACCCTTGAATTTTGCAGCAAAGTGCTGGAAAAGGACTTCGTCAAAATCTCTTCCACCAAGTGATCTATCAAATGAATGTGCCAATATCTTCAGCTGGCCTTTCTTGAAGGCGGCAATACAAACTTGCAAGCTAGCATGCCCAACATCAACAAAAGCAACATTTAGGGGCTCATTTTCAGGTAAATCAGTCTTGTAGATACCATAAGCCAATGCTGTGGCTGTAGTTTCATGGAAGAGACGTAGTGGGTGTAGACCAGCAATTGTAGCAGCATCTATAACTGCTCTTCTCTGGAGATCAGTAAAATAGACGGGTATCCCAATGCAGCAATCCACTACTGCAGCATTCAGATTTGTCTCTGCAATGCTCTTCAGATTTGACAACACCATTCCCAGAACTTGGGTGGGTGTAAAAGTTCTCATTTCCCCCAAATATCGAGCATGGATCAATGGAAATCCATCAGGGCCTTCAGTCACAGAGAAAGGAAAAGACTTGAGATCCCTTTGCAACTCAGGATCTGAAAATTGACGTCCAATCAATCTCTTTACCTGAGAAATTGTGTTCTTTGGATTCATCATACTAGTTGCAGCACCAGCTGTACCAAGGAATCTTTGCTTTTCACCAAAGCAAACAAGAGCTGGAGTTTCTCTCTTTGATTCATCATTAAGTACAACATCAATTCCCCTCTGTCTTGCAACTGCAACGACACAACTCTCGTTCCCAACATCAAACCCTACTACGCTCATTTTTGTTGCAAGAAGCAATTAAAGTCCAACAGAACGAAAAACCTGAATGACAGTAAAGCAAGGCAACATTTAATCCAGAACTTATACAATTGCCAAATTATACTTGTAATGCAAATCACAAGCAAACTGATTCACTATGGCATCAACAGATAGATGTGTAACTTAATATATAGGCTACCAAAGAAACAACAAAATATGCAATTACCATTCAGGAGCTACAACTAATCAAATTAAGATTCAACAGAAGTCATACTCAATACTCAAACAAACAGGGAAACTTAAGCTTTTCTGTTGCATTAATCTTTGCCAACAAAACAAAATAAAGAAATATGAAATGTCGTGTTGCAAGCTTTAATTGATCCGAATCAGATTCAACAGCTACCTCAGAAACAGAACCATGAAATATTAAAATTTGTCACTGAATTAGCTTTCATGCACACACACACTCCCTACATCACCACACACTACATCATCTAAGAAAACCATATAATCATGGCTTTAACTCATCCCAAAAGCCGATCACGTATCCAGAAAACAGTTAAATAAAGACCCTGGCCATCGCAACAAACAATGCAAGCGTGACTAATTCTATTCCAACTTAAAACAATATCCAAGTTCTCATTACGATACAAAAACGATCAAATCGGAAGCAGAAAAAGGATCAGTACTGAGCGCCCGTAAAAGTTCAAATACGACAATCTATTCAACGATCTACACAACCGAAATTAAAATGAGAAATCCACAGATCTGAAAATTCAGTAAACACGAAACTATATTTCGAGATTCAGACGTACCGGAAGGAGGCAGAGCAGGAAGTGCCGGAAGGATCGAGCGAGCAAAAGCGCACAGGTGTATTCTAGAACTCTCTCTTCCCTACTACGGCGGTATGTTTAGAGACAGGAAAGTATGACCGGATACGAAAGGGAAAAATAGGGGTTTTAAAGCCAGTAAGCGAAGGTGGGGTTTGTGTAGAATTCTCGATTTTGAAATAAAAATTAAATAAATGAAATGATGGTTTGATTTACTACTAGGACTCTAGGAGGAGAATTGTCTTTTTTTTTTTTTTTTTTTTTTCTTTTTTCTTTTTTTGCGTCCTTTTTCCACTGTCGTGGTCGCGACGCTTCTAGAATAATCTGTGGACGAGTTCAACTTGGGCCGCAAGCCCGCAACCAATACGGATCATTTGCTTTGTTTCCCCCCATATCACGGCCCACAGTAATCCTTGTAAAGCCCTAATTGTAGAATTCAATTTCTGAAAAATAAAATATAAAATATAAATATAAAATATAAATATAAAATATAAATATAAAATAATAAATGAAAATAGTTGACGTATATATATCTCCCGAGGCACAAAAATTGGCGGGAAAATCATCATGCGCTTGTAACTTATAATGCACTAGCTTAGGGTTTGAGCAGGGGAGCAAGCGAGATACCGATTACTCTAAGAAAATACTGCGGTTTCAGTTGATCGGAGAGAGATGCCGACGTACAAAATCAGGGGAATCGATGTGGATTTCCCCTTCCAGGCTTACGATTGCCAGCTTGTTTACATGGAAAAAGTCATCCAATCTCTTCAAAATGTAAGCCTTTACTCTTCTTTAAATAATAATAATAAAAAAAAAAAACCTTTTGTTTAGTCGTTTAATTTGTTCCTTCTTGTAAAGTTTTGATCTTAAGAAAAATTATTCTGAGTTACCCCTCAATTGAAGTAAACGATTGGAATGGTACCAGAGTGTCAGTTAGTTACATTTTATACAGTATTTTTCTTATGCTAAAAAATTGAAGAATGAGCATATAAGTCTGTAGTCAGTAATAAAACTTGATTAGAATTGAACTTTTTTTATATTGGAACTGTCCCTTACTAGGGGCATAATCATTAATCAGGTAAGGGATTTCTTGCTAGGCAATCCTAAGAAAGCTGAAAAATAAATATCCACACCCAAAAGAAATCATAGCTTATTTTGGGAAAGCATGCTTAAACAGTATTCCTTTTAGCAAAGTTCTATTGTGCTTCTTCTTACTGTTATGTTAACACAAAATTACCAACTTTATAATTGTTCCCACCATATCTGGGGTACACAACCCATTTGTGTTACAATGCTTTGTCATGTGTAACTTTTAAATAATTATTTTCTCTTTGCAATTATCTGCCTGAGTACATTTATAGTGGAATTACGTTGTGAACACATGCTTGTGATGCTGCAGAGATGTAATGCACTGTTAGAGAGTCCCACTGGGACTGGAAAGACACTGTGTCTCTTGTGTGCCACATTGGCTTGGAGGAAGAGTTTGGGTGCTTTTTCATTACGCAAGTATGAAAGAAGAGGTCAAAATGGATCCAGCCAGGAGTTAGATCCCTATTCGGTATCACAGTCTGAATCCTCAAGATTACCTGCTATTGTGTATGCATCACGAACTCACAGTCAGATTAAGCAAGTGATCGATGAGCTAAAAAGGACAAATTACAGGTCAGAGCTAGATTGTGATGTTTGGTTGACTTTTGATGTGGCAGGTGTGGTGGGATTACATTAACCTATAATCACATAAGATTAATAGAAATAATCTCCTTACCCAATTGAGTATGATAACATCGTCTATAGTTTTATAAGTAACTTACTGCTGTACATTAAAAATCTTTGCTTTTGTTTGTTAATTTTCGTTGGGTGCCACTATCAACCTTTTCCATTTTTTATTTCTGATATTTGTAACCAAAATTGTTTGGATATTATGAAAACTGCAGGCCCAGAATGGTGGTATTAGGATCCCGAGAGCAATTGTGCATTCATGAAGAAGTTAGTTTACTTCGTGGGAGAACACAAACAAATGCCTGCCACTTGCTTTGCAAAAAACGGACAAAGCGTTATTGTGCCCATTTTTCTCGCGTTGCAGGTATAACTGTTCTTTGCATTCGACTCTGCTTATTGTGTATGCTCCTTACTAAATAAGCATCTTATACTTGTCTATGTGTGTGCCTAACACTCTTTCATTGCTTCATGATTCTTTTTTGTATTCTTTTCTTGAGGATGGATTCTGCATTATTTAATGTATTATATGGAGTAGCATAGCTAATGATATGGTCTAACTTACAAGTTTGATCATTCTACAGTGAAGCCTACTCTATATTTTCTCTGCCTTAATTTATTATTTTACACTGTTCAATATATTTTCTCATGCATTTGCAGAGTTCGTGAAAGGTAATCCCAATTTAGGAGATGAACCTATTGACATAGAGGACTTGGTCAACATTGGGAGAAGCAATAGCACGTACGTCTGGCACAACTTTTTCTGCTGATGCATGTATACTGATAAATCTATACTTGCTTATAGTTCTACCACTATTTTAGGTGCCCTTATTATATTTCACGAGATCTTCACAAGTCTGTTGACATCTTATTTGCACCTTACAACTATCTTATCGACCGGGAGAACCGAAAATCATTGTCTATTGAGTGGTCAAACAGTATACTTATCTTTGATGAAGCTCACAACTTGGTATGTTGCATCTCTTCAACCTTTGGAGTATATAATCTTGGGCTATCTGCTTCTTTGTTGTGATACTTGTCTATATTTCATTTTCTAATGTTTTTGACAAGGACTTGACAGTGAATTTTGTATATATATTAAATCTAGTATCTTGTTTGTTGGCCATACACTTGTAGTGAGTTGGACATGTATAACATTAGTCCTCCAAGTTAAGGAGTATTATAAATAAATGTAGTCCTTTATATTTTACATTCATGGATGAATTCTGATTTAGGCAGGTAACAAAATATATTTCTTAATTACATTATAGGAAAGCTTGTGCGCTGATGCAGCCTCTTTCGACATACCATCAGGGCTTCTGACAGCTTGCGTCTCTGAAGCAAAAAATTGTGTTGACCTTTCCATTGCCAGGAGGGAGAAGTCAAGTGACAAATCATGCAATCCAGATAACTTTGCCATTCTCAGAGGTAATTCCTCGCATACAAGATTGATGAATGTATGTCAACATGTTTATCAATGCTCCTTAGGTATGTTTTTATTGCCGTTTGTTAACAAGAAACTCATTTATTTCATGTAGCACTTCTTTTGAAGCTTGAGAAGAGAATTGGTGAAGTGCCAATTGATTCAAAAGAATTAGGCTTTACAAAACCTGGTACTTACATTTATGAGCTACTTGCTGATCTTAACATCAATCAGAAAACTGCCAACATGCTCATTGATATAATTGAAGAAGCAACATTACTTCTTGAGGAAGGTTGGTAAGCCCCCTTACTGCCTTGACATTTGTGATGCTAATCAGCTGATCTAAGCTCTAGCATATGGAACCAGAAGTTTGTTTAGTTGAATGAAATAAAGTTACTTGGTTCACTGTTTTCACCTGATGTATGTCAATTCAAGCATTCTATCTTATTGCAATGAGAGTTCCAGATTTAGCTTTACTTTGTTGGTGGTCATTAAAGTTGCCTATTATTTTCAACTAGTTTCTGTTGAACAGTGTAGTTCTTACTCCTTTGGGCAGATGCAAGTGTTGCTAATAATGAAGGATTAAACAAGTCAAAAGGAAGCGTCTGTAGGCTGGAAAGCATGGGTGATATTCTTAAAATGATTTTTAGAGATGATGGTAATCCTCATGCAAAATACTATCGTGTAAGTTCTAAGATGTTGTCGTTCCACTTACTTGAATTTTTATCATAATCAAGCAGAATGATACGACTATATCATTTTTTACTCATTGCCTCATTAATCTTGCAAAATTTTGTTAGGTTCATGTTCAGGAAGTTGAAGGAAGTGGTCCTGATGCCTTTAAAGGTATGGCAAGGTTTTCTTTGGTCTTAATGATGAATTTCATTTCTTGGGCTAGATGGAAGTGACAATTTTTGTTCTAGAAGATTTTCTTTTTCATTTCTTCCCTTCCCTTAACTACACGCTAACATAATGTACTTGTTACTCTTCCATTTTTCCTTTAAAAATTATTATTCTGTTTCATTTCATTGTTTTGATTGTAGTAACCTTCTTATAATGCAGTCTATATATGTACTTATAGAAAGGCTGTAACATACTTGAATTATATGGTCTACCTGCAAAAAAAAAAAAATTCAGATTGATTGTTTTCCCCTTTTTCTTTTTAATTACTTAGATGCGGGTTATCATTTTTACTATGAACAGTGAAGGATATTCTAAAGTGAGCTAATATCTATAGAAATTTCTGTTTGTATTGATGATTACTTTTAACAATAAAAAATCACAATTTATAAATTTCCAATGAGGGTTCAGTTTTCGTAAATATGTTTTAGTGATTTTCCTTTGCTGCAGGTAAGGCATCTAGAACACTAAGTTGGTGGTGTTTCAATCCCGGAATTGCCATGGAAGAGTTTTCCAAATTGGGTGTTGCATCTATTATATTGACGTCAGGCACACTATCCCCAATGGATTCATTTGCTGAGGAATTAAAGCTGTAAGAAAATTGTTCAGAATAAAACATTTTTCTTACATTTTGGTCTTGACACAATTGAGTTTCTTACAATGTATTATTTCCAACATTTGTAGAGAATTTCCAATTCGTTTGGAAAATCCTCATGTCATATCAGAAAATCAAGTATGGGCAGGGGTTGTACCTGTTGGCCCATCTGGCTATCCTTTCAACTCTTCCTATCGAAGTCGTGATTCTCTTCAATACAAGTTAGATCTTGGCAATGCCATTGGTATGTTGAGTAACAATAGTTTTAATAGTTTATTGCTTCCATTTTTCTTAAATCAAATTTCTACATGTCAAAATGCAATTTTAGAATTTGTATGGAAATATTGATTCTTGATATCCTAGTGTGATCTTTTGAAGACTCGAGTAGCTTCTAGGGATTGTATATGACAAAGTTATTGTTTTTGGAATTTCCCTGCTCCAGTCAACTTGGCTCGAATTGTACCAGATGGACTTCTTGTATTCTTTCCATCATACTATTTTTTGGACCAATGTATTGGGTGCTGGAAATCTGCGGTAAAGTGCTATCATGTTTTGTGCAATAATTATGAAATTTGTTTTTGTGCACCTTTCTCAAGCATTGCCTGAATTTTGTAGGGTAATGGAAACCAAACAAATTCTAGTACAATCTGGGAAAGAATATGCAAGCACAAGTTACCTGTAGTGGAACCAAGACAATCATCTCTCTTTCCTTCAGCAATTGAAGTAACTAAAATACTACCTTCACTATGTTTTTTTCTGTAATTATGTACAATAATAATCTCACTTTGTCTCCTGTATTATTTTATAAATAGGACTATATGTCTAAGTTAAAGGACAGATCAGCTTCTGGAGCTGCATTTTTTGCCGTTTGTCGTGGCAAGGTAATTATTTCTTGCAAAATGAATAGGAGTTTCTTATACTAGATGAATCTGCTTTTGACAAAAAGTTTCAAAACTAATCCTGAGTGCTACATTTGTCTCGGAAATGACCAACTGTAGAGCTTAAATGATATCAAGCTACTTTAAGGAATGATAAGGGCCTTTTATTCCCTTCTATAATAGTGTTTGATGTTGAATGATTGGTTCAATAGGTGAGTGAAGGATTGGATTTTGCTGACCATGCTGGTAGAGCTGTGGTGATCACTGGCATACCATTTGCAACCAGAAATGATCCTAAGGTTTGTCTTGCTTCTCTTTGTTCCTGAAATTTCAGTTAATTTGATAATGGCCATGGCTCTCAACGTTTCTCTCTCTATTACCTTGTGCATTCTGACATGTTCAATATTCACAAAACCTCTCGGGTCTTATTGGTGTGTTATTCAGGTTCGTTTGAAGCGTGAATATTTGGATCAACAAACACAATTGCAACAATCTATTTCTAAGGTACTATTTAGAGACCTGGTCAAGAGATGATGTTCTGATGTTTTGTTCCTTTCTATGTGTGTCCTCTTGGCCTTCCCTTCTTATACTAGATGGTGATCCACAGGGCCTGACTGGAGAAGAGTGGTACAGTCAAGAAGCATCAAGGGCTGTAAATCAGGCTGTTGGTCGTGTCATTCGCCATAAGCATGACTATGGAGCAATCATTTTTTGTGATGAAAGGTTGTTCAAAAATTATTTCTAGTCCGTATATTTGTTATTCTGACAGTTGTTTACACTCCTATTTAGGTTAATATAACTTTTTTATCTTGAACAGGTTCACTAATCCAAATCATCAAGCACGAGTATCACTTTGGATAAAGCCTCATATTAAGGTGTGGTTTGACAATTTCTATTAGGTATTTCTACTCTATTTTTAACAAGTATTTCCCCTTAATAAATGAACACATTTCTATGTTTTAACTGGCAGTGTTACTCCAAATTTGGAGATGTAGTTTTCTCACTTACTCGATTTTTTCGAGATGGAGGGATTCATGGCCCATCAAAGCTAGAGATGATGCGACCTAATGCAAGGGGTAAATTGCAGATAATTTCATTCCCCCTGCGGCCCTGCCCTCATGTTTTCCATTGTAATTCAATTTTAGAAATTTGTATTCTTGCAGAAAATGTCAGCCAAGTAAAAGACTGCAAACCTCCACTTGATATTAAGATTTCTATCCCTTTGGTAAGTTTCAATTTATTTACATTGCATGGTATGACTTCAGCATGATGATGATGAATATTGACTTATAACTTTTCTTCAATGGGCCCTGTCATTAGACCTTGCCTGTGGAGCAACCTTGCTCTGTTGACTCAGTATCTTCTGCACTTAAAGCCAAACATTGCAGAAGCTCCAGTAATCTCGATGAAATAGTTCCAGCCAATCGGTCATCTCTGAAGTCTGACAAGCTAGTTCAGAAATTGGATATGAAGCGGTCAAGTAGTTTGTTTGAATTTGAAAACAAATTTTTACCCTCTTTGAGGAAAACCACGCTGGCTAGCAATCACAAATTGATTGACTTGACAGAAAGTAAATCTGGTGAGGTGATTGCACCTTGTTCTTCGAAGAGGCCTAGATTGGTTATAACGGGACCGGATAAGGTATGTTGCAAGAATTCATCAGAGAATCAATGTTGCAATATGTTGAAGGATGAGAAATTAACGCTTTCTGGATCTCAAGACACGATAAAAATGCTACCAAAAGATGAGCTGACATTGCAAACAAAGGTCACTTCGTGTAATGACCATGGAAAACCGTCTGGCTCTGTTACATCTTCTGAGGATGCAGAAAACAAAGGATCCATATTTCTTGTCCAGGTAAACTACTTTTCTTTTAATGCATGGAATTCAGGTACAAAGAACCATTTTAGTATTGCTGTCTTGCTTCCATTTAACTGTGTTCCTATCAGCTACCTGAATAGAATTTGAGGGTTATCAGAATAATAATACTTACAGGTTCGCGAGAAGCTTAGTGACGTAGAATACAAAGAATTTGTTGGTTACTTAAAGGCTCTGAAGTCCAAAGCAATGAAAATTGGGCATGTTTTGGAATCTGTTGCAAGATTATTTTCTCTTCCTGATAGACTACCTCTGCTTCACAGGTGCATTTAATTTTCTGTTTTAAATCATTTGTTTTAATGAAACTTCTCTTCTTAGCAACAAATTTTTTCAACTTGTTGACAGATTCAAGGATTATATTCCTGCCAAGTATCGATCTTTATATGAGCAGTATATAAATAAGCGATGACGCCACTACCGGTCTTAAACAATGTGATCACCTGTTGTAAATATGCCAACCCCTACCCTAAACCTGCTCGAGAAGATTTTTGAGGTAATGTTTTGTGTGAGTAGGTTAACATGTTCTTATTGCAAAACCTGGCCTCCCCCTTTTTACTTGTGTTGATCCTTTAGCAGAAATTTCATTTTTGCCAGACTTGAAGGGAAGTTGCGCCTCTAGTACACACCGGATTCTGGATCTCCGGCAGCCAAAGATCCTGAAGAAACAAGGGCTATTAGTCTGCAACAAGATTTAGTGTGCCTGAAATTTTCTGATCTTGAATAGAAACTACTGCTAACTGGAGTTAACTTTTTGCTGTATGTATTACTTGCAAATGTAGTCTCAATCTTTGATTGCAATAGTAAATTCTTTGCATTTTTCACCCTCGTGTGATCTTCACCTTTTCTCTCCCAACATCCCGAGGTTGTCAAAACACCGCCGGAACTTACGCCATAATTGGCGTCCACCAAGGCACTCAGTACGAATTTGTACGACTTCTTGTCATTCAAGTTCAAGTAACAAAGCAAGAGCTCTTCCATTGCATGAATTCCCTGTCAATTTCGCCGTGATGATTTAACCTCGCCTCCATCATTTCCTGCATCGAACGCTTGAATTCATCGCATGAGAGCGAAGAATACGTTGAAACCATAATGAAATCTTCCAGACCTAATGAACATTCCCTGCCTGACACAAAGACCATAATGAAATCTTCCAGACCTAATGAACATTCCCTGCCTGACACATCACTTTGATCGCCCTTGTAATTTCACACCCTGACCTTACAGGAATAGCGAAAAAGTTAATTTGTGGTGATTCAATTGTCTTATAAGTGATTTTTTCATGTAAAATACAAACAAGTAATCTCATAGTAGAAGGTCATATGTTTAAATTTTTATCACATGTCCATACATACTCACACGTAGTGGCTGGGATAAAAACGCGGTAAGCCAAAAAAAAAAAAAAGATGGGAGAGGTGGAAGATGAAAGGAGAGGAGGGAGGAAGAAAGGGGCCATGGCAGCTATCACTGCCACCCCAACCCTCCAACGTAGTATCCTGTACGTGAGTGGGAATATATCAGATCAGATCATCAGAAATATGAAATAATTCATGTATGTTCTTTAATTTGCAGACGGTCTCGAAGACAATTTGGAGAAGACGATGACAGATGATTTTTCCGGCAGAAGAATGCGAAAATGTTATTCCGACAGTGGAAACAGATGTAGCCCTGATGAGCAACCACCGGCGGCCGCCGCAAAACCAACACAAAACCATCGGCGGCGGCCTCTCCAGAAACGGTCATTATCACGTCCAAATCGTCTTCATCTATTTTCTCTGAAAAACATTAACGCCAGCATTTTATCCTCGGAGAACGCGCGGTTACAATGTTCCATAATAATCGCGCTGCTGGTAGTTATGTCTTGCGTCAGTGTCCTTCACGGCATGACAAAGTCTAACAGTGTCATCGCCTCCAGGCCTCTCTACATAATTATCCTAACTGACGTCACCGTCGTGGTGGCTCGCCTGTTCATCCTGCGGAAGCAGGAACACCCCGACACGGCGGCCGGCGCCCACAAATACAATGAAGACGATGGGGAGTATAACTGTAGACAAGCATTTGCAATGCTGGAAATGGGGTTGGTGCTCTACCAGACCATTCGTGCTCTCTTCATTGACTGCAGCTTTTATCTTCTTCTTGTTGTGTGTGGCCTTTCTCTCTTGTAGATTCTGCCACGTTGTATATAAACAGATTAAAGGATTTGATTCCAATAGTATTACTCTCTTAATAGAGTTCTCTAGGAGTTTAACAAAACAAACTAGCTCTTAATTATTTCATCCCAGAATAATAAGGTTTGTAATTATTAAAAGATTTGATTCCAATAAAAGTCCAACAAAACACATCCTTATTATTAGATTTGATTTCAATAGTAGTCCAAAGATATGATAGAATTACTAGATTAATTTACATGCGCCAACAACAATAATAGTAGTCTAATTAACAAAACACATCCTTATTCCATTCTTATTATTACTTTCATATATACTTGATTATCTTATGTTAAAATTAAGTGATTTACACTAAAATGATTGGATTTTTTTTAAAGCAATAAAATCACGGTGAATTACTGAATAAAAAGTAGAAATAAAATCAGGAGGAACGAAATCCCAATACAAAGTGTTAGCATGAGAGTAGGCCATTAAAGCAAGAGTACGTATGAGCTACGAAGTACTATATTAAAAGATCTAAGAACTAAGCTAACTAAGCAACTAATAAAAGATGACATTTCTACTTTACTGTCATTAATAGTAAAGCCGACATAAGAGAAAAGTTCAGTATGAGAAGATGTCAAGTAGCGATGAAGATTGGAGCAATCAGTGAGAAGTTCAACCAACAAGAACAATATTGATTTTTAGTTCACTAATAATAACTTTTTACATGTCACATTGCTGTATATGCTATAACCTGCATGAGTGAAGCAAAACAACTCATCAAGAAAACGACGGTGCACGTACAAGAACATGGAATATATATGTGGTAGGGGTTGTGTTTGTGTTAAACGCAATCTTTTGGTTGTTTTCGTATCTCATAACCTCAGTAATTACTAATTAGTCAAGAAAACTGATTGATTAAGATAGGCCGAGACAAAACACACATATTATACTACAATAGGCTTTGCGTTTGCGTCTTATCTACGTTGGACGACAGACATATATATACATTCATTATTCTCAACAAGTGGTCGGAAGCTTCGTCTGGCGAAGGCCACACAACCCCAAGTGTTCGGTTAGCCACCAATATATATAATATTGTTTTTCTATGTCTGGATTCACGTATAATCGAACATCACTCGTTATATGATGTAAACAATACGAGACAATTCAATTCAAGATGTGTATAACAGAAGAAAATGTAATATAAATTTTATGTGTACGAAGAGAGTTCAGAATATGCTGATTCTCAAATCTCTCTTGTCTTCCACACAACACAGAACAAAAGAATCAATCCAAAGTAACATAAAAACGAGTAATATATTTGGCCTCCCTCCATTGTGGGATGATCTCAACTTCTGAACCATTACTTTCTCGATCTTCCATCAACAAATGTGTTACCCTCATCCTTACTGGGTTCAACTCCATGAATCTGGCAAAGGCGACAGAGCCGAGGAGGCAAGGGCAAGAGTCGTACCTGGAGGAGGAGCTCGGGCTGTTAGCAGTGGCTCGATGAAGCAATGTCTCTGCTCTCCAACAAACCATCCGGGATCATTCAGATGTAGACTCCATCATAAAGAATATAAATGGGGTTGTCAACTCACACCCAAACACAGTCAGTAGACTGCTATCTCTGTGTTTTTCACTTCTCTTAATATCTACAAAGATCGTTAGTTACTTTATGGTAGTGCGGAAAAGAAGAATTTAATACCCAAAAAAAAAAGACACGACTTTGGCAAATATGTACTGTATTCATTGATTCCATGACGAAAGAATGAAAACTCTCTCATGCTAGCTAGTAGCATGTTATTCACAATAAGTTTCTCACAGACATGACAAACAACTTTCATAGTTACATCAAGAAGGAATGTGTATTATGTATCCATGCATTTAAATCCCGAAAGCTGCATCTGTACTGCGGCAGCATGGAGCAAAGGAGATGCAATGACTTGTTGCATCAGTTGGCTTCCATACAAAGCTCCACCTCGGCGCCAAAAGCCATATTACTGTCCAAAAGGAAAAGATAAATGTAGATCAGGAACTACCAATACAGTGCTGTAATGGCAAAAGCAGCAATCGTTATGTATACCAATAAGGTTCTATGACTTTAATGTTGTTGGTTTTGTAGGTCAATGATTGAATTCCTATATCTAATAAATGAGTATGTATGTTTATGCATCATGCAGGTTGCTGAATTATACTCCATCATCTAATTTCCGATATAAACCATTCCTCCATATAAATTCGGAGCAAGATGGACATTATGAGAAACTAAGGAAGGTAGACTAAACATCTCACCTCGGGGTAACAATTTTGATGGGAGATAGTCTCATTCTTTGTATTTACAACAATTTCACACGATACTTTCCCCTGCAACAAAGATGACGTGGAAATAAGATGCACTGTCTTGACAGGCATTGAGAATTGAATCAGAAGCTATTAACTATTTACTATAGGTAGAGGAGGCAGCAGAACAAAAGAAAAGAAAGGGCACGAAAAAGCAACATGTTGAGCATTTCCCAGAAGCAAGTTTTACTTTTTATATAAGGCACCACCAAAGTAAGTAGAAATAACCAAAGAGAATAACTTGCAAACAGATAGATGGTCGCTGCTGCATCGAAGATTGCAATGAAGTGATGTACTAAAGAGAACCAATCTTATCCAAAATTAACTTAGTCTATGGAAACAAAGTTCCCCATCAAAGTGCACTACTCCTATCAGCATCGGCAATCCATGGTTTATTGCAATACAAAAAGCTAGAAGAATGAAAGATATACATATAAGGAGTATATATAAAAGCATCCTCTACAGAACTGAAAATATCTAATCATTCTCTGAATCCAACCAGCACACTGAATGAAGTTTTGTCAATAGTATATTGAACTCCAACTCCATTAACCATCAAGCTCACAAATCACTACCCTAACTCAAGTATTCCCATATTTCATATTTGCATGGACTTTTACCCACAGATACTAAAAAGGTTGGCATAACTAGAAAGTTTCAATTTTTTGTTTTCATACACGCTAACACACAAATTGATCTCTAGACTATATCAATATCACTAAACTAACTCAAAATTTCAATTTTTTTCATACATGAAAATTAATCTCGAGACCTTTTAGTGAGAATCTCAAACCTATATCAATGAACTACCTCAAAAGTTGTCACTTTTTATTTTTTTTTCAAAAGCGAATTGATCTCAAGACCTTTTAGTTAGAATCTCAACTTATACCAACAAACTCTAAACACATGCTTATTGATCTTGAGACCTTTCAGTGAGAATCTCAAACCTATGTCCTAAGCAAAGTTTCAATTTGTAAGACTCCTAAGCTCCGCATTCAAACTCAAACATCATTAATTAATATTTATAAGCTAAATATAAATGACAAACAATCATCTTGACAAAAGTTGAATTTAGCAATATAATATTTGTTAGTTGTTATGAAATGTGATAGGAAGAAGAAAAGGAGAATGACCTGTAGAGGAAGGTCGAGCAAGAATAATCCAAGCTGACCACTGATCTCAGTAACGGTATCGAACGTAACCGAACCCCTAGCGACGTCCTCGATCAACGGAAGCACGTCGGTTATAATTTCAACCCCTTTCAGCTGCAGCGTAGCGTTAATGTAGGAAGAAGCCCTGGCTTTAAGGTGGCCCTCCTCCGACGTGACGTATCCGAGCCGCTTTCTCCGGTAGGCGATCGAAACGACTAGTGCGTTGTAATCAACGGAATAGAAATCTCTGTTTTGGACCTTAACGATAAGGTCCAGGTAAATGTCTAGGGAGGGCGGGAAGGGGTGAACTCTGAAGCCACGTAGTTTGAGGCGGGCGACGGAAACTCCGGGGTCGGAGGGCCAGATGAGGAAGACGGCCACGGCAAGGAGGAGAAGTCCGGCGGAGTAAATCAGGCGGCGGCGGCACGTGCGGCTTATGTAGGAATGCGAACGATAGTAATTTGGTAGAACAATGATGTATTGTGGAGTCTGGGGCTCCGCCGGGAGTGGATGGAAATAGCGTTCTTGAGTTGAGCACGACGGTGGCAGCGGGTCGGAATGTCTTGATGAAGTCATCTTCGCCGCAGTGGTTTTCAGGCGAATGGAGCAGAGACTGAGAGAGATATAGGTAGGAGAGGAAGGTGGTGAGGTGGGCCCAACCACCTAGGTAACATTCTCCCACACCATTTATAATTCCATTTTTTAACAATTATTATACTTTTCGTCCCAAATTAGATGATAATAATGTATTCACCCCTTATCTTTAAATGTTGCTACTATTTACACTCAAATTATTGTTAGCTTGCTAACTACAAAGTTCCAAGTTTGATTTTCAGTAGAAGCAACTTATAGGCTTTTTGTGCATTTAAATAATGACTACTAATTTCTTTCGTCATTCAAAACCTTTATTGCACTATATTTTTTTTACTATAATTTTGTCGAGACTCAATATCAAACTGTACACTTCTAGACACCAAGAGCCAAAGCCAAAAGTTGTTACCCTTTGTATTTGTCAATGGACTATAGGAGTAAGGTTTACTTGTCTTTGCGTGTACGACATAGTTTTCCTTCATTTTCATTGGTAAATTATATGGACTCCAACCTAAATAGAATATTATCCTAGGACTAGAAAGGGACAAGCTATTTCAATCATGCCCTACAGAAGAAGCAATTAACATCATCTACTGTAAACTAGTAATTCTGCTTTCATTCACACAAGCAAGAAGCAACTTGAGAAAATGAAAAGTTCATTCAAGGAACTCAGTACCATGTTGACTATTGAAAATTACATAGTAAAATATCACATCACATTGTTTTTGGGTTTCTCAGCACACAAAATGACAGAACACAATACAATGTAATGTAATGTATTCTGAGTAAATTATGAACAACGCAAAATCTTGTGAGGCCAAACATTACCCGGTTATGTGCTCTCTCTGTTAAGCGGATGTGTGATGGACTCCAAAGTCTGGTACATAATCGAACAAGCACGAGAAAATTCTGACATTGCATGAAAAAGTTCGGGAAGGCCTGTTCTTAAACTAGTCAGTGACTTCACTCTGACCTGCATACACTGCCTCATGTAGGCCTCCTCCTCCTCTTTCAACCTCTGCTTCAGTGCTTCTAGTTGTAGTTGTCGCTCGATTACATTGTTATCCTCGTGAGGTCCATCTTGTTCTGTGTCATCGTTTGGAGTTCTCCGTTGCATATACTTATGATACCAGTCCTCAAATTGCCTGGTCCTCTTTTCAAGCTCCTTTCTTGTATCCTTACACCTGTCCTTCAATTTCATCTCATCTAGTTGATGTTGCACGATGGTATTTACAACAGCAGAAAAGCTATAAATAGCGGTTTTAGCAAGCTCATCAGGAAGCTTCCCAATCAGATCTTGCCAGGCATGCAGAAGTGCAAGAATTGGAGGGTTCTGGGGCCTTTGTGGGGATGAAACCTTTTCCTTCAGATTTGTATCAATAGGAACCAGATTTAGCTTCAACCAATCGTTCAGGCCTCTAATATATTCCTTCTGGTGGATTATCATTTTCTCAAACTGTGAATGCCACTCTTGTACAACAACACCTAACTGGTAAGTGCGTTCATAGTGGTGCTCACTTGTTTCTTTGGGGGACTGCGACATATCCAGAGACCTCAGAGCTAGCACGATCTGACATTGATTCTCATGATGTCCCTTCATGGTCTCCCACATTCTAGCCATCCTGAAGTCAGCACAAACTATTCAGGCAACGATACCATGGTCTGACGAAATACCAGGAGGACATACACCACAAAAATATACGATAAAGGGAAAGAGAAGAGTCAAATTTGCAACACCTAATAACAATATTCAGCTTCGTTTTGATAAATTACAGAAGATCAATATCCATAGTGGAAGTGTTTCAGTAGTTCAATTTCTGAGGGTTATTGAGCAAGGACAAATAGAACATTTAAAAAGTTAAGAACACCACACCAAATGGCCAAAAAAGGTTTTTTTTTTTTTTGAAAACAAATAAGCAGGAAATTCTTCTATTGTTTTCAGTTTGTTATATGGACTTTAGGAAGCAGATATACTTAAAACCAATCCATCCACTGCTAAGGAGGATAAAGTAGGTTGAGACCACTTCTATTCAATAATAATCCAAATTATAGACCTATGGCATAAATGAAACCAAAAAACCTAACTGCCTATACCATCTTCAAAACATTGGAAATTAAGAAACTAATATAACAAAAGGAGAAGGGCATTTAACATGCAAACATTTTGAAGAATGAGAACTTACGACTCAACAAGTGATTTTAATTTTGGATAAAGTTGGTCATCACGTAAGCGGTTTATTTCTGAAACAGTTGAATCCATGGATTGCATGTCAACAATATATCTTGTATGCAAGTGGCTAACTGTTGCCTTCATTCTCTCTAATGCTTCTGTATTTGTCCCGCGCTTCTTTAGCTTATTTAGTGAAGCGACCTTTCTTTGATACTCAAGTTTCATTTGCTCACCCGCCTAATGCAACACCACCAATGAACACAAGGAGTTGAATGCAAAATAAATATTGAAGAATACATGGGAAGAAGGTTTTAAGTACATGAATGTTTCTTATTAGAACTCTGTTGAAATGCAATTGCCAACTGGGGAGCACATGGCACTGAATTAGAACCATGACTTCAAATTTTAGTTAAAATATTCAGAAAAAATTCATCATTTTTTAAATAAATACAAGAATTTTTAAAAAGAACAAAGTAGAGGTTTTCTACTTATCCAAGATGGCTTAAAGATTGATTCTACAAAAGAACTCCTCAATAGTCACCTTCCTTCTGCACCTTCTTCTATATTGGAAGGGCAGAAAATTGAGAGATTCAAGAAGAAAATGATCAAAATGTCCAATTGCACATACCTTAACCTCATCATAGAGCTTTTTCTCCCATGCTAGCATCTTGTCTAGTACAGTGGCATGTGTTTCATTTTCTTCTGAATCAAAGTCATCTTTCCCATCATCTTGATTTGGCATGCCTTTGAAGGACTTATTCCATGTAATGACACGCATGACTTTTGTAGCATGATCAACATGCCCTATGAAGTAAAAATTGCAGTGACTTATATGGCAGCATAAGATTGGAAAAACTCATCCAAACTTTGGAAGCACAAGTAACTATACTAATAATCAAGCCATCTACTAATCTTTTCCATACACTCAATATAGCATAAACTCCAGGAACAGATAAATTCTACAGTGTATATCTAATCAGATTTAGTTTCTTTCAGAAAGCTGGCATCATTAAGAAGTTTAGGCAAGAAATTTCCTTAGAACAAAGAACATAAGTGGGAAATTTAATTGCTACCTTTAGGATCAGCAAAGTTTGAGTGATAATGCAATCGATTTGCCTCGAGCATCTTGGATACTTCATGAGCACTTTCTGATGCCCGGAGGAAATAATCATCGAGTTCGGAAAATATCTGTAGAAGATTTGCAGGCTGCCCGGATTTCATTTTACCCTCAGGTGGAGCTTGAACTTTCACTCTTTTTGCAACCTTTGTGGGTGCTGCCTGAGGGGGAGGCGGCTGTGTTGGAGGCTCTGCAACTTTGTCTGCCACCTCAGTTGCCTCTTCTTTACCACTTCTCCTACCTCCCCCTTTGCTACCACCGTCGCTTACATCATTTGCCCTTCTTTTAGCCTCTTCCTCCAACAGCTTCCGCTGAAGTTCCTCTCTTTCAACTCTGCCCTCATCCACGTCCGCCAGTGTAGGTCCGGCATCGTGACCCCAGGAGAAAAAATCCCAGTTATCATGGAGCGGAGGCGACGGTGGCGGCATTGGAATACTCTGCGGCGGCGTCCGCGGTGGCGAAGGCGGCGGCAGGTCCACTCTGCCCCCAATTCCACCACCGCCACTACTTTTACTACTCCGATGCTTCAGTCCATGAACACTTTCATCCTCAATATCCTCCTCCGTCTCCTCAATAATCGGGTCTTCGTGCTTCAAGTCGGGCGTGGGTATGGAGATCTCTGGCATGGTGGCGGCGCGCTGCAGAGGAGACGGCGTGAAGAAAGGAAGAGGTGGGGGAGGGGGCAGGTCATAGTTGGAAGTCATAGAAGGCGGGATTCCCACGGAGCTTCCGGGAACGGAGGAAGATCCGGAAGTGGAGGCGGCGGCAGCAGCAGCAGCAGCAGAAGCAGAAGTGAATTGAGCTTCACCTTCTGCGTAATCATGGAGGGCAGCGCCAGTATTCTTCAAGGAAACAGCGTAGCTGGAGTGGGCCGCCGCAAAAGCGTTCCGCGCCGCCACCGCCTCCTTCATGAACATCTTCCGCTCCTTGCATCTGGCCACCGTCTCTTCGTTCTCGATCTTCGATTGCGTACACCCCATCGGAACCCCGACCTAATACATAAACCTCTCTACTACATATATTTACACATACAGACACAGAAAACAGAACGTCTAAGATTTGATCAAACTGAAATCTGTTCCAGAATTGACGAGAACAGGGCGGAGGGGAAGGAGAAAAAAGAAGAGATTGAGAGAGAAATCAGAATATTAGAAAGACTCACTCTGCTACTTTTACTTTTGTCTGGAGACCAGACCAAAAACAACAGTGAAGGGGAAGCCGGTTAGCCGGATATTTCCCATCTATAACGGCGTCGTTTTATTATAATTAACTAACAATCTTCTTCATAATAATACTTATAATTGATATCATCAGATTCCGTTTTCTATGCTTAATTCAATAACAATTACTGTTTTATCACAGTTGCTATTTTACTACACCATACTTATTAAACAACAAATATTAATTACATCGTATGTGTCCCGACCGACACCTAACATTTTATGTTTGACAAATCACCTAATAGTGTCCACCTTCTATATAACTTATACTATAGGGGTGTGCTGGTTTAGGTTCTGCAGTCGTTTTCTTTGTGCATTAAATTATTCCCTTATAAAGAAACAAAACATACAATTACAAGCAGATTGAAAAAGAATGCATTTTGATGAGCAGCTTTTTAATGTCAACTAAAGTAGCTTTAGGTAGAAGAGTGGGAGCCCATTCGGATATTATTGTATCATATTACATGTGAAGTCTTCATGCCCATCTCATTCCCCCCCTTGGTTAGATGGCAAGGATTATGTGATGCCAAATTGTCATTCATTTAATCAATATGTAGTAGATGCAGAGATTTATTTCTAAAACAATGAAGCATTTCATACTTTCTATCTGTAACTCTATAAGATATAGAATCTGATCGAGCTTTTGTACAGATGACATGTTTACTTACAATGATTCCTGATGATAAGGCCTATCATGCAAACAAATTAAAGAATCGAACTAGGTAAGGCTAAGAACATTAACATTCTGCAGCAAGAACTGCATATCATTCTTTCATGCTTGCTCTGGCAACTGCCAACAGAGCTACGAGGTCATCATAATCTGGCAGCTTTGGATGGACATGTCCTTTTGGATTACACGTCTCAACGTGATATGAAGCCGATCTAAAATGCCCTTTTGAAAGTTCGGTTGGACTTGATTGTTGGGTTTCGGTTGGGAGGGAGGCTGATCTACTTGGAGGGACATCTACTGATCTTCGGCTTGGGATTCTGCTGGAGCTACTAGCTTCATTTTGTTCATATGATGGCTTTGTTTCTGTGTCTGGTTTACCACCTGCACTGTTTTTTCTGCTGTAATGTTCCAAAAGTGAGTCCAACTTCTTCATCTCTTCATCTCGCTGATTGCTGTGTTCATCTCTTGAACCCACTTTCTCATCACTAAGTGCCCGGTGGGTTCGTATCCTCCTAACTGATTTTGGCTTTGGCCTGGCTTCTTTATCATCACTGTCTTTTTGTTCATCAACATCCCTGCCCAAAGCACCTTTCATTTTTTCTTCTCGTGATTTAGTGTAGGGAGGGGGGATTGGGTTATGATAGACTGGAACCTCAGATTCTTTTTCAGGATTTCTATTGGAAAGATGATGATTCTCTCCTTTCTTCTCAGCTTTTTCATCTAACTTGTATGCTTCTTGATCATTGCAATTCATGAACGACTCCTGCAAATCACCCAATTTGCAGAGGAAAATGACAATAAATGCATCTATCATCTCTAGACATAAAATTGACATGAAACTTGCCAAAAAACTTACTTGTTCAATTGTAGGTGGTTTATACAACTTCTGCTCCAAGGCCTTTGAATTCCAGTCTATACCCCACTCAGATGCTATAACTTGCATCAACTGAAGCTTCATATCTTTGGATGGTTTCCTAGACTTGAGCTTTTCAACAAACTGGGGAAAAACAACATTAACAAATGGGAGAGATCAGAATTGCAGCACACATTCAAATTTCATTTTCAAGCCATATATATGTATATAGCTACCTCTTTGTTAACGAAACAATCGAGGGCATTGCCATATCTCTCAGCAAATACGGTTCTCAGATGGCGCAATTCTGGAACGTCACCAAATCTTGCTGCTGCAAACATCAAAGTCGACACGGCTTCCTTGCAATCCTCAGGGCATTCCCTGCAGGAAAGTTAGATATATGATCATACAGATGAGCATTGAAAAGAAAGGCAACAAAGTTATTGTAAAGTTGATGTCTTTATTCTGCCATGACAGACAACTTGAAATGGTAAACAACAGGCCAAACTATGGGCTTTGAGAAGAAGCATAAAAACATCATTGTCAACTGCCATAATAGGTACCACACACTCACACAGTACAATAATCTAATCAAACATGTTATATACCTCTGTTTACTCATGATTGGAAGATTGTTTGAGATCTGTTCACAGTACTGATCCATTAGATCATAACACCTCGAGTGGTTGAGTTCAACCAGAAAATCTTCACACTGTTTCATCATAAGCAGAAATTGTAAGTATGAGAATTGCAGTCTCCTAAAAATTCAAGAAAATCTCGTCGGAAATGCCAGAGACCAGAGATATCATTTCAAGAAACCAAAGCACACTCAGCCACGTACAAACCAGAACGGCAATGAGAAAATTATCAAACTTCAGATTATAAATTACAATATGACCGAAAAAAAAAAAAATTCAAGGGACTTCAAGAAATCAACTAACCCAACAAAAAAAAAAAAAAAAAAAAAAAAAAAAAGAGTAAAATTCTTACCCTTTCATATGCATTCATATCTAAATCATTCTTGAGAAGGTCCGCGATATCATTCCTTAAATACTTCTGCATTGCATTCCTCTTTCTCCGTATCAAATCTACCCGAGTCTTGGTCAGCTTGATTCCCGCCTTGCTATAACCATAGAAACAACACCATATATATCAACCCAAGAAATGAATGAAAACTAAAAAATAATAATTATAAACTCATACTGGCAATACGAAGTCATTCAAATCTTACCATTTGGAAAAGAACTTTCCCTTTAACCAAGAGTCAAACATTTTCTTTTCTTTTGTTTTCTGGTATTACCTAAACCAAAAGAACACAGAAATAAATCACCAAGATTTATAGAAGTTGAGATTCTGCTATAAAAACGCAACGCATTCAAGTAACGAAAAGAATCCGACTTGGAGACCCCGCCATGAAAGAAAAGAAAAGAACCTTAGAACGAGCTAGGAAGCAATAACAATTGCGGTGAGTTTGGTTCTGACGTCGGAGCTTCCACTTACTTGATGAAGAAGATTGAATTGATAAAGCTTGAGCCGAACGAAGCTAGAGGAAGGGAGGACTTGCGAAAACTCGACCGTGAATGATTGATAATTATGAGCGCGCAGCAACCGCCTCCATTTATGGACGAGATCGAAGAGAGAGAGAGAGAGGGAGAACAGAGATGGAGATTTCAGCAGAGAATCTTGTGAAGAGAGAGAGCGAAAGGGAGGGAGAAAAAAGCGAGAGAGAACTCAGGGTTTTCCGCCACGTCAGCACCCACTTTCTGTTAATGGCGCTCTCACAACTGTCGTCGCTGAATTGACCATGATATCCTCGGACTCTACGATCGGTTTTCTCTAATTCGGCGCCAAGCTCAAGGGTAGAATGGGAGTGATGAGCGTTTGGCAACTAACTCGGTTGCTTTTCGATTACGAAGTTGCCGAGCCTGGAAGGGAACTAACGAGGCCATAAGTAATAATGTATTACTTATTTAAAAAAATTACATCATAATATTTATTTTACGTTTGATAAAGTATTAATCTCTTACTTTATACCTCATAATAATTAGCTGAGGTACATAATATAACTTTACAATATATAACGTACATTGTAAGGTTTTTAATTTTTTTTAGTATATAGTATAATATGACATAATATAATATTATGGTAAGCTAAGCTTAACATATGAAAGAAACAAATTAAACATTTTTAATTTGAGAAAAAATAGCATTTTCTTAACCAATTAATTAATTAACTCATTTTTTTCATGCAATGGCGCCTAAAAAGGAGAGTTAGTTGGAGTTTAAAACTACTATTGCGACATTAGAGGAGAAAATATTTGAGTCAAAACACGATTAAGGTTGACTACATGCATGTAACTACAATAATTGAAACTCTGGTTAGTTTGAAGCAAAACGTGCTAATTACTTGCATGCGTGTTACGTGGTAACTTGGTGGAAGAAAATGGTCAAACCAATTCCCGTGGTATCAATTTCAGTGACCTTGTAGTTATATTAATATTCACTAGAAACTCTTGGGGCTTATTTATTTTATTGAAAAGAAAAAATGAAAAAATGAAAAATAAAAAGATGGATGATGATGAGGCAGGATTCATGGCTGGAAAACAGCGCATAATTCATTGCATGGTCCACATCATCATCTATATATCTTACTTGCTGACGAAGCAAGCGGCTGAACCGGCCGGCCTGCATTTGTTGGATTGCCTCCTTCCATCTGTTGCGTGCTTGCGTTACTGACTCGGTAAACAGCAGCACAAAAGAATGAATTGAAGGACAAAAAGGAAAAAATAAAGCAAATTATTGTTATTATATCTATATATATTACTCGATTTTAAGGGCAAATTAAATGGCATTGTATATATATTTCGGAAAAGTATAGGAAAGGTAGCTTTGTCATCACTATATACATGCGTTTGTGATTTGTATAGTACAAAACAAGTTTGGATTTTTGTGTAAATTAGTATTAAAATCTGCTAATGATAATTCAACATTATTTTCTATCTGATCTGCCGCCCCCTATCGCTTCCTTAGCTTAAATAACAACCATGAACCACCCTTAGCTTGTGCGTGCAAATCTTTTTGCTTTTTTTTTTTTTTCCTTATATAACGCTTATAAAGCACGCACCACCATCTTCTTGTGCCCGGCCTGCATGCCTAACTTTGGTCTATAAATAGAAATGATAATGATATTTTTTATAAATAATTATTGATAGATTAATTAATAAGGATCTGGTGACACACTTATTCCAAGTCATAGATCAGAGTGAGTTTATAGAGTCAATCCTCAATTTATAGAGTTTAGTTTTGCCTTTTAGGACGCATCAACCCATAAGTAAACTATATTAATTTGTTGACAATGATGTAAATGCATCCATATATGAGACTCGGAGTTTGTTATCTGCTGACAAAAATGTTACTGTTTTTATTCTAAGTTAATACCAAATTTAGTTCTCGATTTAGTTTTAAACGACTTGTTGTGTTTAATTAAGTCCCGATGGTTTTACTCAATTGAGTCATATGTTAAGATATAAGATAGCTTGGTAATTCTACCTATATTAATTAATGCACTATTTAGTTATCGACTATAATACTTTTACCAAATTTAATCTCCAATTATAGTGATTTTTATTGATTTAATCCTTAATTATATCAGCTGAATACTTAATTGGGTAAAACAATCAAAGTCTATGACTTAATTAAGCACAAAAAAGTTATTTAGGACTAAATCAAAAAAAAAAAAAAAAAATACTATAAGCCTAAATTGAATATTAACTCTTCTTTTTTTTTCATATTTTATTGTCTTTAATTTCCGGTGGAAAAAGATGTTAAGATCTTTGATAGAGAAACATGAAAAGCAGCCAGCTAGGGACAGCTTGCTTTTCTTTGTTGCGTCAATCGGGTTTAGAAATTAGAATTACAGTTGTCTACCACCCAGCAATTAGAATATAAATTAGGTATAATACCTATGACTAAATATAACCTCGCTCGTAGCTTAATTATATGTATGCATAACTCAAATCGCATAGTAAATCTTGTTAATGGAAGAGTTGTAACCAAAGCACCCGGGAGGCAGGGGGTAATTAGTAGTTAATTACCTAATCAACGGAAAATTGGTTAGCTAGCTGGTCATTGTCATATGATTATTATCACTTTTAGGCTGTGGAGTCTTACATGGGAATAAAAAAGTTTCACTCGCAAGTCAACGATGCTGGGAGATTTATGGGTTAGCACCTTCGAACATGGGACGTTCTGGCTCTTAATTACATCAAATTAATGTCGATTAACATTTCATACTAGTTGAATTATGAACCCGAACTACTTAACAATTTAGGGTCAATAATCTAGAGTTCGGTGAGTAATGAAATAATAATGCTCGTATTGAATTATGATGCAGAAGGTTTAATTATATTTACAAATTAAGTCATACTTGTGTGAAACGGATCAAGTCGGATTGAGTTATTAATATACAAATGTGATACTTATATTAGTAAATGCAATACTAAATTAAATCATAAATAAAATATAAAATTTAAGATTCGTTTGGAAAGCTGTAAAATGGGTCATTTTTCAGAACAACATTTTATTTTTCTCGTGTTTGGTTGCATTTTGAATAACTTGATGTGTATGGTTTATTTTCTAGAAAATGAGTAGAATTGTATAATTAAACATTTTGGCAGGAGTAATTTTATGTAGAAAAATGTTTTCCGTTGATTGAATTTTCCTGTTACATCTAAACAGACCCTTATAAGAAAAAAAAAATAGTACTCCGTAATATTTTTGAAAACAAATATAATACTTTCTATATTCCCAATAAATGTTTCCTCATTTATTTATAATAAATAAGTTAATGGCAATAGAGTAGTGGTTGGACAATAGTAGTGGAAAGTTAGCAAGTGTAATAGTTATGCTGTGCAATCGTGTGCACCAACGCGCGTCCCATTTAAAATAAAATTCAATTTCAATTCCCCTCAACAGTAATACTATTGTAGATATATAGTTATGAATTTATGAATATTTAGTTCATTCATTGTGGATATTTAGTTCATTCATTGTGGATATTTAGTTCATTCATTATCAATATTTTGTTCATTCATTCTGAATTTTGTGTTATTCATTCACTGTGAATATATAGTTATGAATTTGTGGATATATAATTATGAATTTATGGATATATAATTCAAATTATGCACACAAAAATATTATTACCGAGAATTGAACCTGAATTTTTTTTTTTAAGTGGGACACGCATTTTTAGTTAAAACGACGTTGTTTTTGTAACTGTATACACCATGTATAGCATAATTTGCGTAGCAAGGGAATAATTATAAAAAAAAAAAAAAAAAAAAAAAAAACCGTAACAAAAAAGACGTGGCCCAAAGATGTTGTGTATATATAGTGGGCTGGTACAAAAATCAACCGACATATTCATGGCATTTCTTTCATCTTCTGGCCCATTTATGTCTTATCGAACAAAATTTTCTAACCAACTTCAGTTACAAACTGCTTTGCATAAAATGGTTACGTTAGGTCCCAGTGCCACACTAAGAGCTCCTGCCAAATCCCCTGAGACAGGCATTTCAAAATGTCATTTAACTCGTATAAATATTAGTCTCTTTATAAGTATTAACTTCGTCTATCGATCTGTATAGACTTAACTCACTGGTTTATTAGATAGTATTTGAGAGAAAAAATATTAATTAACTTGCTCATGTAACTCAGTTGACGGAAGTCACGGAACAAATCCAATCTGCTGGTTGCATAAACGAACTATTGATAGATGTTGTTATTGCTTCAAAAAGAAGAAATACGAAATGAAGCTATCTCTCTTCAATCTTGACGACGACACTGACGGCTCCGTGATGTTAGAAAAGTATACTAGCTACTGGGGAATTAGCTAGATAGCTACCAAAAGCATCGCAAAAAGTGAATGAGAAAATGGAACAAATAATAATTATTATTATTATTCCCGCCGCCGACGAGGTCGTTCCTGACCAGCCGCTCCAAGCTATCCAGGTTCCGAGGAAGAAGACCGCTGTAGTACAACAATGTTGTCATCGTCGACGCCGGCTGTCTCGCCAGCTCCGCCATTGTTCTCGCTACTGACTCAAGAAACATCAAAGCCACCAGAAACTGCAACAACACAACATACAAAACCTAATATATATATATTTCCCTGCCAGCGGCCGCCCCAAAGCCACAATAACAACGTAACAATATAATAATCAAAACCGCACAACAAAAAGAACAATATATATACCATGATTTGAATCGATCTGAGAAAAATGGAAGCAAGCAAGCTAACCTTGCTAGCTAGCTTAGGTTGTTGAGCTGCTTAACTTACAATAATGGCCGGTGCGAGTGAGTTTAGGTTAGTTTTATATACATATACTGGCCGGAGATGGAGTGCGTGGTTTTGTAGCGTGGCATGCTAAAACATTGGGCGGCGCTTTAATTTGGACATCTCGACAAAGTGACAAACCAACGCTAATTGCCATGACATTAGTGGTGATTAGTAGCAGTTGATTGGAGTGATTAGTTAATTAGCAGTCATTAGTATTAAAATACTTGATTAGCAGTCACAAAATAATATAATGATTGATTAGAACATTATTATAATGATTGGCAGTGATTATAATTGATTGATTAGCACATTAAGTAAGATAATTATTTTGGTATTATAAGAAGGGGGGGTATGTAGCGAAATGAACCGGCAGAAGGGAAAAAGAAAGAAAAAGAAAAAGAAAGAAAAGAGACGAGAAGAAATAAGAAAGAAGAAAGTGAAGGAGAGAAAGAAAGATAGGAATGGGTGTCAACTGGATGGGGAGTCAGAGATTACTATTTCAGAAGATTTGTTGTTAAAGTGCGAAGATGACCCTATTGCTACAATTGTTGATAGAACTTTCCCCAATTTCCGACTGGGACTTGCCGATTTGTCATATCTTAATCATAGTGCAATTTTAGCTCCAACATTGGATGTGGTAGATGCCGTTAACCAATACATGAATGACCATAATCCCGCTGAGAGTAAGACATACCTGAGTTGTGATTCTGTGTGTAAGTCAGATGCCAATGTGGACATGTTAGCGGATTTGCACACTCCGAAATTCTTGAATGCATTGAGATGTTCTGGAGTCCCAAATCATGCGTTGACATTGAAAGTTGGATCACCTGTTATGCTGTTGCGAAATATTGATCACACATTAGGATTATGCAACGGTACAAGGTTGATTGTTACAAGGTTGGCTGACCATGTGTTGGAAGGCCAAATCATGTGCGGTACAAATGCAGGAACCAGAGTATTGATTCCTAGGATGTCTCTTACACCGTCAGATCCTAGATTGCCTTTCAAATTTCAACGAAAGCAATTTCCCTTGATGCTATCCTATGCCATGACAATCAACAAAAGTCAAGGACAAACGCTTGCTAAAGTTGGGTTGTTGTTGAAAAAACCGGTCTTTAACCATGGACAACTATACGTAGCTGTTTCAAGAGTTAGTAACCCCAGGGGTTTGAAAATTTTGATTTGCGGGGAAAGTGTACCATGTCTTAGTACGACTAAAAATGTTGTGTACAAAGAAGTTTTCAATAATGTATAATAACAATTAACAATTTGTTTCAATAATACGTTTCTTATTAGGTTTCTTATTCTTATTATATTATACGTCATATTTTATGTACTATATAGGTAGAGTCTCTTAATGTATAATAAAACTACTATTTTCATCAATGTCGAATAAAATCACTACTTTTCATTTCACATTTTTAAAGGTCTAATAACTATATTCTATACTGTATATATATCATACTATTACGAATTCAAACTATATATTTTTTCATCTAATTATATTATATTGTATATATATCATAATATATATATATACCCGCGCCTCGCGCGGGTGCACCTACTAGTATATATATATTGGATAAACATAACTTCACTCTTATGTAATAATTTATAAATTACACACTTAATTACTTTGAAAAAATTATATGACACCCCACGAGATCAGATAATGTTAGCAAAATTTACAACATTCACTGTTAATTGTATCTGCCCTGCAATTTTGGCCTTTTAACATAGTAACATCATTAAAGATTTGTAAGAGATTGGAGGTTGATGAAGACTAATTATATATGGAATATTTAATTTGTGAGTTGGTAGGATTATTATTAGGTGAAAATTAAATCAGAAGGAAAGAAATCGGGGAAAGAAGATGTGGGGCCCATTATTATATATATTTGCAGGGTTGAACGTCCACGTGGCTCCTTCACATGAGGTTGGGAAGAGGGGATTTTGAGCAAATATATGCCCACTTGGCCACTTCAATTCCGATATCTAAGAACTGATTTGAAATCATGTTGACTTTATTATGTTACTGTGGGCGGGCGTTTCATTCTCATATGTTATATTGAATTGGGGTTCATGTTACCAACGGACATTTATGGTTAACAGTTAACTTACATAGTATATAACCTCTTTCTCAGCTGAGCTTATTCTAAATTTCCTCAAAAAAATAATATAATATTTTTCATAACAATCTCACTCCAATCTCAAGAGTCCTAAAATAATTAAATAAAAAATAAATCTGAAAAGGTATCTTAATAACTTACAAGTTTCTAATTAATTCTATGCTTTATCTCGATAATATATAATCAAACTTCGATCATCTGCACCATGTTAACATATATAATTTAGAAGTTATTGACTCTGATCTCATGAAAAGGATATTCATATAAGTTAGCATACATGGGAAGATGTGTGTGCAGTAGTTTTATTGGTGTTTGCATGGCATTGGCAAGTATAAGGAGGAGCACACAGTAAGTGATGAAAAACACAGCAAATTAAGATACATGCAGGGCAGCCTGTATATGGTACTTCATTCTGTGTCTTGCATGCATTCTTCATTGGTCAACTTATACGGTGGGGAAGGTGAACCCCTTAGCTGAGCTTGCATCTCTTGCTATATGCTGTGGAACCGTGAACACGGTTCCAAAACTGTCATAATTGTGAATATAGAGTTCAAAAATTATGAACATAAAGTTCTATAATTATGAACATAGAGACAGATAGAGTTAGGTAATTATGAACATAGAGTTTAATAATTGTGAATATAAAGTTAAAAAATTATGAATATAGAGTTTTATAATTATGAACATAGAGTTCTGTAATTGTGAATATGAAATTCAAAAATTATGAACATTGAATTTTAAAATTATAAACATAGACTTCAGTAATTATGAACATAGAACCGTGTCCACGGCATAACAATTGATTTTGTCTTGCCATGGGCTGAACTTGTTGGGCCGACAACAATTGGCAAGGCCCAAAACCGCTGTCGTCGATGGGAGTCAAATACGATTACGGAAAGGATTGGTAACATAAGAATTAACTAACAAAATAGCAAACATCATGTGATTTAGTTGCTCTATCAATTCCTACGACAGAAGCAGCCGAGTCAAAATACACAATTTATATACTAAATATTCACAATTTAAATTTTGAACATTTAGTAGGTAATGGTGAATATTTAATATATAAATTGTGAACATTTGATATGTAAATTGTAAACATTCAATATATAAACCTCAGGCAAGTTATCTCAAATTAAATATAGATGCTACGATTAACAAAGAAAGAGGTAGTTTGGGATATGTTGAGAGTAAGAATGACAACCAGGCGGAGCGGGACAGAAAATGGGTCCCCATCCTCGCTCTCAAATTCGTCTCCCGCTCCCCGATCCCGCCTCTTCCCCGACGAAGATGGAAAATTACCCCATCACCGTCCCCGTAGAGATTCCCTATCCAGATTTTTTTTTAACTTTATACATTTCCTATTTTTTAGTACACTATAAAATAATATTTTATTTAAATTATATAATTAATTTATATATTTAAATATACCATTAGCCTAACATCCAATCAACTCAAAATACAACTTGTATAAAATACTTAAACTATTAAACAATATTTAAAGATTCAAATTGTTCAAATTTCAATGATAGGGGTTATTCCCCTAGCTTACGGTCAACATACTGATCGGCCTGTTGAATACAGGTTTTGCTCAGCTTAGACCGGTCAACCCCGAATTGGTAATAGGATCTCCCGGTCTCGCAAGACCGAGCTCCTGTCGTGTTGGCGTGCCGTTCTTAGCAGAGCGTCGCCTTCTCCCGGCCTATTTAGGTCGTTATCTGTCCGATTAGGAAGATTGATTGATTTCACATCACTCAGGAATCTACCGTCATGTGATGTCCTGTGATAAGACCAGTTGCAGACCCGATGCATGGTCGCCACATGGCCGACATGTCAGGGACCAGAAATTGTCCCTTAGGCCCTTATAAATACCGCATTTAATGTAGGCAGGAGTAACTTTTTTTGCGATGTTTGCGAAGATGACAGTCGTAGAGCTCGCGAACCTCTGTCACACTGTCACGTTTACCGGGTTACATTTCTTAGGCGTAAGACTGTAAGAGTGTAGGAAAGGCAATCAATTCGGTCAGCCGACCCTTGTAATACCTTTATACGTCCGAGTAGTAATACAACTGTATTGCAATCGTATTTTACATTTATTTATTTATTTATTTCGTGGATTCGGGGTTGGGTCGGGAGGAGGGAAACAACTCTCGTCCTGGCCACCGTTTCCTAAAAAAATTCTTTGTCCACACCCCGTGGCGGGGACCAGGTTTCTCCATCGGGATCGGTTTGAATTGACATCCCTAGTTAAGAGATGACAAAGGTGCCTTTATAGCTGCAAAATGAGTTGTTATGTGACTTTACTCAAGTATTTTTTACTTTCACCAAACGATTAGCGAATTGGGCAGTCCATGAGATAACTATGTTATCGGTTTCTTTAACTGATTATAGGGAGTGGCTCATTAAACCTCATTTATTCTTTGTAATGTTCTGTCTTCAAACTTATTTTAATATATGACATTTTCTCAAAAATAAAAAATAAAAAAATGAGGGCAGTCACGGAATGGATTATTGGAATGAAGAAAGATAGTGGGATGGGGTCTAGGTGGATTGCACGACAAAAAGTGTACTAAATCGCAATCATAGCCGTACTACATAAAACGTGTAAAAATTTAAAACGATCATCTCCCCATACAAATATATATACAATAATAATGAATATGCAAAAGAAAAATACTACATGTACTTCTATTTTTTACTCTCAATTTGTACTCATTCTCATAAATTTTTGATGTAGACATATTTTCTGAGACCCACATAATAAAAATAACTAATCCTTATTTGAGAGTACATGTAGTAAAACTCTATCTAAAATGGTGTCAAGGTTTTATCCTTTCCTAGTGTCACCACCATTACTATTTAATATTGTAAATTTTTTTCTAAATTTCATGATATTGCATGATTGCATCAGTATTATTATTATTATTTTTTTTTTTTTGCATCAGTATTAATTGGTTATACATTTTTGTGTGATAAAACGCACATGGCATATCCTTAAAAAAGTTTCCAAAATAAGGAAATAAAATTACGATTTGGTGTATAAAATTAAATGTTGCATGAAATATTGTTTAGGTAATTTATAAAATCTTGACTTTATTATTAGAATACAATGGTTATTTTATATATATAGAAATTGTCACAATAAAAAGAAATGGGTGGTCCAGTGGGGTCCGCAATGAAAGAGGAAGTTGGGCGTTTCCTCATACTTCCCGCTCCCAACAAAATAGCAGCAGCGGTGGCCTCTGCTTCTGGGCTCTGGCAAATGGCAATCCCTTTTTTAGCAAACCGCAATAATCAGTTTTCAAGAACCAATCGCTCTCCCTTCCTCTGCACCAAAATTCATCTCCTCTAGCCTACCTAACAACCAACCAGTTCACATACACTCTAGATAAGCGATAAAATCTATTTTTACCCAACACAGTAATTTATTTATTTTTATACATTGGAAGATTGGATACGGAGAGTGGCAGCAGATACCCATAAAGCCTAACAAGTGAGATCTTAGTGCTTACCTAGTTCTGTTGAGCTTTGCTTGTTTTGGTTGGGGAATGGTAAGGAGGAAGGAGTGATGGATTTCTGGCCGGAGTTTCTTGCAAGCAGTTGGGGGAAAGAGTTTGTGGCCGGAGGATTTGGGGGAACAGCCGGTATCATAGCTGGTTATCCCCTCGACACAATCAGAATCCGGCAGCAGCAATCAGGAGCAGGAGGTTCGGCTTACAGCATCCTACGTGGGGTTGTTGGCTCTGAAGGTCCCCGGGCACTCTACAGGGGCATGGCTGCTCCCCTTGCCTCTGTCACCTTTCAGGTAAACTTCTTTACTTTTCCCCCTTCACATTCTCTTTCACCAATTCAATCCCCCTGGTCTTTGACAGCATGCAGTAATTTAGCCTTCAGAATTGACCAAACCAAAGATAGATAATCTCATCTCATGTGCCTAACAAAGTTGTTAGGCAACAGCATGACAAAGTTAGAGAGTTTTAAGCTTACACGCAAGAAAGACCACCACATTAATATATCCTAAAAGACACATTTTGACTATGATTGAATTTTGAAATAATGCTGTTGAAAGTTAAGGTTGGCATATTTAACAAGTAAAACTACATGTCAAATTGAATCTGGTCCAAGGACTCTTTGCATTCAGAAATTCTGTAGCAGTTTACGAATAATAAAAATTTCCCAGGACTTACAATGTGACAAGTTTGCTTTCTTTGGTACCACAGAATGCCATGGTTTTCCAGATCTATGCACTACTCTCAAGGGCATTTGACAAGAACATTCCAGCTAGTGATCCGCCCTCATACAAAGGAGTTGCATTAGGTGGAGTTGGAACAGGAGCCATTCAGAGCCTAATCCTCAGTCCTGTTGAACTAGTGAAAATCCGCCTCCAGTTGCAGAAGAATATCCATGAGACAAATGTTCAATCAGTTGGTCACAAAGGTCCAGTAGATGTTGCCAGACAAATATTTAGGCAAGAAGGTTGGAAAGGAATATACCGTGGACTTACCATCACCATTCTCAGAGATGCACCAGCTCACGGCTGGTACTTTTGGACGTACGAGTACATGAGAGAGCAACTCCATCCTGGCTGCCGAAAGAATGGCCAAGAAAACTTCAACACAATGCTTATAGCAGGTGGCTTTGCAGGGGTTGTTAGCTGGATAAGCTGCTATCCCCTTGATGTGATCAAAACCAGACTCCAGGCTCAATCAGAGTCTACACCATTAAGATACAACGGCATTGTTGATTGCTTCAGGAGAATTTTGAAAGAAGAGGGACACAAGGTGCTCTGGCGAGGCCTGGGAACCGCAGTTGCAAGAGCATTCATAGTGAATGGTGCTGTATTTACAGCATATGAAAGTGCTCTGAGGTGCATCTCTAACAACAACAATCATGAAACAATCTATACAGACAACACACCATAATATAGGATTAAACCCCTGTTTGTTGTCCATTAATAGATCAGTGAGCACCAAGCATATAGAAAACAGTATTATAAATAGATGCCTAGTGGTATTTCTTAGCAGATTCTTCAGTACTAGACATTACAGCATATAAAAAACTACTATATAGTCAGCCCATAGGCCAGAATGGGAATTGGCAGCAATACAAAGAAGATTTTTTTTTTTTTTTTTGTGATTGTACAAACATTGACAGGTAATTACAAAATGGTTGAGCTCTGGGCACAAATGTTATAACCAAATGTTATTCATATCAATGCAACTAGGTATAGAAACGAACACAGCTTATGACTCAAACATGTATACACAGACACAAAAACATATGGTATAAACTCATATTATTCCATTGCAAAAGCAAAGCAAGATTGCACGAAGACAAACTCTACTCAGAAAGCTAATAACATCAATTTCCAAACTTTTCATAAGCACTGCCAGTACTTAATTGCCAGACCCTGCTCTCACTAAGTTTAAGCCTGCCATAGCATCCTCTAAACCACTGCTGGCCTTGGCCAAAACGTGTGGATCATTATAGTTTCTTACAGCCTGCACAATTGCCCAAACTTTCTTGTAAGGATCCGAGCAATTGAACACCTCCGGACCCAAGAAGATGCCATCACAACCCAGCTGCATCATAATTGCAGCATCAGCAGGCGTAACGATCCCTCCGGAAGCAAAATGGACCACTGGAAGCCTAGCCATTTGCTTTGTCTGAACAACAATGTCATAAGGCGCGGCGATCTTCTTAGAGAAGGCGAAAACCTCATCTTCATCCATGTTGTTGAGGACTCTAATGTCCCCCATCACTTTCCTCACGCTGCGGACTGTATCCACAATGTTTCCTGAACCTGTTAAATCCCCTTGAGTCCGAATCATGGCTGCCCCTTCTCTCACTCTCCTCAAAGCCTCGCCGAGATCTCGAGCACCACAAACGAACGGAACTCGGAAATTATGCTTGTTAATGAAGTGATCTTCGTCGGCAATAGCTAAAAGCTCACTTTCATCGATGTAGTCTACTCCGACAGTTTCGAGGATCTGGGCCTCCACAAAATGCCCGACCCGAGATTTAGCCATTACTGGAATAGAGACGGCCCGTTTGATTTCCTTGATGAGAGCCGGATCGGGCATCCGGGAAATTCCGCGAGAGTCGGGTTCGGAGACGATCACGCAGCAAGCTCCGGCTGATTCGGCGATCTTGGCTTGGTCGACAGTGGTGACCTCAACAATGGCTCCGCCGCGGAGCATTTGAGCAATTCCCACTTTGATAGAGAAAGGATTCTTCTTCGCATCGGTGATAGCGCTGCCGCTGTAGACCGTGACGGCACCGTCTTCTGCCATTTCCGCAAAGTGTTCGGTACAATGCGCGAGAGAAACAACCGATCAGTAACGTGCTTCGTGCGGAGATGATTTGATTTAATTGCGCTACTTGTGTCGGAAGGAGTGGGCTGGGCGATCAAATTATTAAAACGAAGAAAGGAAGATTCGGAAGATGGGTGCGAATGTGGCGTTTAGCGATTTCCAGAAACTTCCAGGAGGCCACTGCTTGATTCGGCTCGGCGATGCTGGAAAATGTAGAAAGTTCGATACATAAACCGCTCATAAGCCCATAGCCCAAACGCCCCAAAGTCTATACATCCCATAGTTATTGTTTGAACAGTGGTCCACTGTCCAAAATTGACGTCGTTTCACACAATTTTATTTTATTTTACTTTTTTCACACGATTCACTGCAATATGCATTTTTATAACTTATAATGTACATTTTTCTAAAGCATAATATACATTATTCTAACTCATAAATACATTATTTAATCGTTAGAAATTTCATTACTCTAACACATAAAGTATATTATTTTAACACATAATATACATTATTCTAACTCATAAAGTATATTATTCTAATTCATAATATTTGTTAATAAAATAATTAGGGAAAATGTCACTTTTTTCCCCTATGTTATATACTTATAGCACTTTTTCCCCCTCAATTATTTAAGTGGTTCTTTTTCCCCCTGAAATGTTAAATGGACATATTTACCCTTAAAATAAATATTTCATTTATTTTTATTCTCCAATAAATTATTACTATAATTTGGTTCAAACCAGATACTATAGTAACCAAACCAAAATATTCCAATTACAATTTATTATCAAAACGCGATATTTAGAGTTTATTAAAATCGCGAACTGGAATGGCCGGTTCATGTTTCGAACTGAAAAAATAAAATACATTTATTGTTGAATTTAAACTATTTTAAAATAAAAAATAAAATTTTAAAATATAGATAGTTCAAAATCGCGTACGGGATCCGGAACCGCCGGTTCATGATCCAATTTTTTTTATTCTTAAATTTAATAAATTGAAATCTAAATATTGGGTTCTAGATCTGAATCATAACTGAAAACTTTTAATTCGATTGCTATAGTGTCTGGTTCAGTTCGAACCGAACCGTGGTAATCGCTACATATACGCAATAATTTGTTGGAGAAGTAAAATAAATAAAATGTTTACTTTAAGGGTAAAAATTTCAATTTAATATATTGGGGGGGAAACCACCACTTTTAAAATAATTGAGGGGGCTAATGTGCTTACATAAATAATTGAGGGGGAAAAAGTGCTATAAGTATATAACTTGTGAAAAAGGTGCTATAAAAGGATTATGTTTTTACCCCTTTGTCTTGTTAAGTTTTGTGGAACAAAGTTGTTCAATATATAGTTCAATTGATGTACTAAGGTAGATAGAGTATTGGTTGTCAAAAAAAAAAAAAAAAAAGGTAGATAGAGTTTAGACTAGTATTTAGAATAGTTCAAGTTGATCAGTTGTTAGACTTATCGCGGTGAAAATTGAACCAGTTGCGAAAATTGTTCGAGCAGATGTTCAACACAGTTATTCAGTTAAGATCTTTGTAGGACAACAATATAAGGGATTATCTCTCACTTTATCATATGATGAAGACGTTTACATAAAAGATATGATACGCCTTGAGGATATCCAGAGAGTTAATTCGAATGACTTGATAATCGTTCTTCATTGGATAAAGATTTGAAATCAACTTAAACATCTAATCCATTACTGTTTACGAGCTGATTATCACATGGAGTTGACGCGAGTCTGCTGCAATTGAGGGGGAGCCTCAGTTTGGGTGATCGGGAGATTTCATGCCGGTTCTTCTAAGAAGGAGCCCGTATTGATTAGCTAAGTTGTAGCGGTACATTCTTGAAGTCTTTCGTGTTCATCATTGTAATTTAGGATCAATGAATAAACGGACATTCATTTCATGTGATCCCCCCAAACGTAGGAGTTTAATTCTCCGAGCTGGGTTATCAAATTTAGTGCATTCATTGTTGTCTTCTTAACGTGTTCATTATTAATTTGGTGAATTACTCACTGCAACAATCATTTAACTAGTTCAAAAGACAAACTTATATGAAGTGTAAACCTAACTATTTATGTTTATTGCTTATCGATTTAATAAACTATAGACGATTAGTAAGTAATTGGACTTAGGGCATTAGTTGTCAAATTTTAATATTAAACGACGTCGTTTTAGATAGTATCCACACAAATACCGTGGATCGTGTTATATATCTTATTTATTTATTCAGTGGAGACGATATTAACACAGTCAATAGTAGTATAGTACTCACAAAAAGTAAAGACACTTTTATGGGCTTATGGGGAAGACAAAAACAAATGGGCCTCGTGAAGAAGTAGTATAATAGCCTCCTTCATTGAATAAGATGGATAAGCTCCCTGTTACTATTTAAGTCTATTAAAAAAATAAGTATTATATAAAATTGTCTAATATAAGATGTGTAATAATTTGTATGGATTTATAAAAATATATTACAATTTATTTTTAAAAATTATTACACAATTCAAGTAATGCGGACTCGTACAATACACAACATCCATTATTTTTTAAAAATATATATGTAGTGTTTGGGAGAAGAATAGACAAATGTTCGAATATCAACACTAACAGTGTGAGAGTATGTCTAAAGTAGATATCACTTGTGTGTACCAACATTTGACTATGTCTGCTGAGTCATTTAGTTATCATAATTTACATCATTTTAAATGTTCTATTGAACCGAAATGTGTGGAACTCTTAGAGCGTGAATTCAACCTTTTGAAATAAGAATATACATATATCTTACACCACAAACATTTATTGTGACAAACACATAAAACGACGTAGCCCCACCATGTGACCTGCCCTGCCGTGGGTAAAGCACCAAAGCACCATTCAAACTCAACCACCCAATTGTCTATTAACAACATTCTTCCTTCAATATGTGCTTTGAATACGCCATTCAGTATCCGACATACCACCTTCCACCTTATATTTGTATTAACGATCTGTTTAATAATTATCTTAAATTGTTCGATTATTCACTTACATGTTTATATTTTAAAATTTGTAATTTTTTATTTCGTAAACTATATGCTAAATGTAACTACATTTCTCGGAATATATATATTGTTACAACTTACCAGCTGACTCTATTATGAATTAAATAAATAATTTTATAAAGTAAATATTACTCCGTATGAGGTAAAAGTTGAAGGTGAAATGCAGCGGTAATCTGGCAGCCGCCTGCACCGGTTTTACCGGTAAAAAATGAAATGAATCTGAACCGTTGAACTTCGACACAACACTTGTAATTTGAATCGGATCTGTTGATGGATTGTAGAGGGAGAGAGAGAGTAGTTTGGAGACTTGGAGTTTATTCCTTTTTTTTTTTTTTTTACGGAATATGATGATAATTCATAACTTCAAGGAAGTATAAAGCAATTGGATTTGATCGGAGATTTATTAAATTTATTTAATTATAACAAAGAAAAAGATGAATGCCGTAGGTAGGCAGAGATCCGGTGCGTCGACGGCGCATCATCAGCGGCAGTACTCCGACAACTTTCTGGAGAGTTCGTCCAACGGCCGGTGGCTTCAATCAGCTGGTCTTCAGCATCTGCAGACTTCAAACAACTCCAATCCTCCTCTACAGGTCCGAATCCTTACTACATTTCTATTCTTATCGAGATCAATGATTTTGCTTGAGTTTTGGATCTGGAGTGATTTTTACTGTTCATTTGTGGCAATGTTATGGGAATAGGATTTCGGGTATTACGGCGGAGCTCAGAGTTCGAGAATGTATAGGGGTCCTCAGAGGACTTACAGTGGAGGGAGTGATGTTTTTGCCGAGCCTTTGACGCCGCCGGCTAATCCTCGCCCGTCCAGCCAGAGAAAGAATGGAGATGAGCAAGTATCACCTACTGAGTTCAGTCCGGGACTATTAGATCTGTACTCATTGGATACCGAGCTTCTCCCCGAGGTATAATTCCTACGATTTGTTGCAATCTTTTTACCTGTTTTAGTGTGCTCAAGTCGTCACCTAATGACTTAGTTATAAACGGATTACATAACTAGAGCTCAGTGGCATTTGTCTATGGATTCTTATTGTGGAATTGCTGCTGTTTATAGATGCCAGTTGCTGGCCAGTATGGTGCTCCTGTGCATCATTTTGCTCAAGGGAAAAGCCTTGATGACTTGGAGTCATATTTTGCAAATAATAAACAAACTGGTAGAGTCCGAGGCATGGTAGATAGTAATGCAACGAAGAACTTTGCTGCTGATAAAGAAAAAGCTAGCAATGTTGCGAAGATCAAAGTAGTGGTATGTTTTGTCTAGTCTTTTTCTGGTTTGCAGTTTAGCATGGTGCTTATTTTCTCCTGTTACTTTGTCAAGCTTGCTATTCGGATTGTTGTGGTGATAAACATTGTGATTAGGCCAACATTGCACTTATTATCTGCTTGAGAAGCTTTTTACTTTCTGAAGCACTTTTTGTTTTGCCTACAGAAAAACTAGTTAATGCCCTTTCTTGATGTAGTTGCTAATTTTTTAATGATAATTACAGGTGCGTAAGAGACCACTTAACAAAAAGGAATTGGCAAAGAATGATGGAGACATCATTGAAACATGTAGCAATTCGTTAACAGTTCATGAAACAAAACTTAAGGTTTGAGCCCTTCAAATTTCAGAAAAAGCATTGCTTGAATTGACTTGGATCCATTATTAGACAAGTAAATTTCTTTATTAGCCGCCTCCTCTTTTTTTTTTTTTTTTTTTTTTCTCCTAATTTTGTGTGTTATGTTATGCTTTGCTGCCTTGTTATTGAGCATGGCTTCAACATTCACATGTAGTTTGATTTTGTGTTCTCAAGTCTCTTCAATAATTATGTATGATGATTCAGGGGATTAGTTTCCTTTTGTTTATTCCAATGCTTAACTTCTGGTGTACAATGAGAAATGAGATAATTGCAAATCCAAGACTTTCACATTATTTGCCATAATGAAAGTAATATTTTGTTGATTTCTTAATTTTACTTATAAGATGCTTCGTTCCCTCTTCATTTCTAAGCTGTATATATTAAACAGGTTGACTTGACACAATACATTGAGAAGCATGAGTTTGTGTTTGATGCAGTGCTGAACGAGGAGGTTTCAAATGATGAGGTGAATATAGAAACAGATACTCCGTATATCACTGTATCACAAAATACTAGACTTCCTTAACTGTTTTGCATCCTTGTTTCTTTGGTATATTATTCATTTAGGTATATCGTGAAACTGTTGAGCCAATCGTTCCAATAATCTTTCAACGCACAAAGGCCACTTGCTTTGCATATGGGCAAACAGGTAAAGTTCCAGAACTTCTCGAAGAATATTGAATAGGGCACCATTTCATTTATGTACAATTCCTACTTGTTTCTAACATTTGATATGCAATTATTGTTGATGGTTACCCAATACTAAAGTATTTATTAGTATCTTTTGGGTGATTTATGAATAGCTATTCTCTGCCACATGGCCCCACATCAGTTTCTGATAATATCTAATATTTCCCAAAATGATTTTTTTTTACACATGTATACTCTTTATTTAGAGCCTATCTATCCTCTCTTGATATCAAGTATAAATTTGCTAGTTTGCCCTTTTCTTTGTTCCCATTTTGTAAACAGTGTCATAAATTTTAAAGAAAATGGCACAACAGCTATGTGCTTCCATTGTTCTTGATAGGATGTGTTATTTTTCATAGACCGTCCAAGTTGTTTTTGCAAATTTATACCCTCCTACCTTTTACAATATATATTTCCACTGAGTTTTGGCTTGTCCCTGATTTTCTTTGTCTTACTTTGAATCTTCTTCAGGAAGTGGCAAGACATTTACAATGAAACCACTGCCTTTGAAGGCATCAAGGGATATTTTGAGGCTCATGCACTATACCTACCGGAATCAGGGCTTTCAATTGTTTGTCAGCTTCTTTGAGATATATGGAGGAAAACTCTATGATCTTCTTAATGATCGGAAGTAAGTGTTCTTAGCATATTCCATTATGAAAGTCAGTTAGATATTGCTGCATTTGCATTCATGGTAATGAAACCTTCCTTTGGCAGAAAACTTTGCATGAGAGAGGATGGTAAACAGCAAGTATGTATTGTGGGCTTACAAGAGTACAGAGTCTCTGATGTGGAGATGATTAAGGAGCTTATTGACAGAGGAAATGCAACTAGAAGTACAGGCACCACTGGTGCGAATGAGGAATCTTCCAGGTCACATGCTATACTTCAGCTTTCTATCAAGAGGTCAGCAGATGGCAGTGAATCTAAACCTGCCCGAGTCATTGGAAAGCTCTCTTTTATAGACCTTGCTGGAAGTGAACGTGGTGCAGACACTACTGACAATGATAAACAGACCAGGTCTGTGTCTACTTATTTGCTAGGATGATTTCTGGATGAGTGTGACAAATAGTTGAAAACTAAATGCTTGATAGTGATCTAGGACAAGCAGCCAAATACTCAAAACTACTTTACAAGTTCATCCATTTGCTCGAACCTTTATTTCGTCTCACAAAATTATATTCTTCCTCAAATCAGCATTTGTTCTGACATATTTTTCATTTCTTGTTTCATTTCCTAATTATGCAGGATTGAAGGAGCCGAGATCAATAAAAGCTTGCTTGCATTGAAGGAATGCATTCGAGCTCTTGACAATGATCAAGGCCATATACCATTTAGAGGCAGTAAGCTAACAGAAGTGCTGAGGGACTCATTTGTTGGAAACAGTCGAACTGTAATGATATCCTGCATTTCACCAAATTCCGGATCATGTGAACATACACTAAACACATTGAGATATGCTGACCGGTACTCTATCATTAATACGGTTCCACTGTAACAATTTCTTGTGGGCTAGTTTTCTCGAGTCGTGACTGAAGTTTGACAATATATCTATGATCTACAGAGTGAAGAGTCTTTCAAAAGGAAACAACTCCAAGAAAGACATATCATCTTCAACTTTGAATCTGAGGGAATCAACAGTGTTACCAATGTCCGTGGTAGCACCTTCTGCATCAACATATGAAGATGATACAGGTGATTCGTGGCCTGAACAAACAGAGAAAGATGACTATGAGGAGGACTTCTATGAACAAGAGAAGCCAATATCAAAAAGGAATGTAAAAGTTGAGGCATTCAGTATCTCCAATCCAGAAGAGAAAATGAGGCGGGGTAATGACCAAACTAAGTGGAAGGAGCCACCTAGAACAGAACCTAAGATTAATGACAATGATGATCTAAGTTCACTCCTAAAGGTAAAGTTTGGGTTTTGTGAGCTTGAAAATTTATAGGTTTCTATAGCTGCGTTCTGTATAACTCTGTGTTGCATCCTTTCAGGAAGAGGAGGATCTCGTCAATGCACATAGGAGACAAGTAGAAGAAACTATGGACATTGTTAGAGAGGTCAGTAACAATATGAACTTGCTTATCATATACATATGTTTTGATCAGGAATTTTTAAATATAGAGGCTGCCTTAAAGGGTAGTCTTTAACAATTTTTGTATATTTATGAATGTAAGTTTGTGTGTACATTAACTTGTGAGCCTGTCATCCTCTGTTTTATAGGATTGCAATTATGTGATTTTTTTTTTTTTTCATTTCTCATACAAAAATGCTAGAAAGTGATTTTTTTTTTCTTTTAAATATAATGCTGCCGTGCTAAGAGGCTTTAGTGGTGTGTAATTCAGGAGATGAATCTTTTAGTCGAGGCAGATCAACCAGGAAATCAGTTAGATTCCTACATATCTCGATTGAACTCAATACTTTCCCAGAAGGCTGCTGCCATCGTGCAATTGCAGGGGCGCTTAGCTCAGTTTCAAAGATGCCTGAGGGAGCACAATGTTTTAGCATCCTCAGGCCACTAAGAATAGTGAGATGACAACTTGAAGAATGTAGGATACATTCATTGATAATCCAGCATTGAGGGTGTTGGGGAGGTGGTTACTGATCAGGTCAGTCATTACAACTGTGACTCAACTTTGGCTATGAACTAGCGGTCCAATGGGTTTTATCTCTCCTTGCAAAATGCCCAGAAGTGGTCTGAAACTATGAACCAATCTTTCTATATCCTCTGTTAATGGTCATTGTTTATTTACAATGAAGAAAATGCAGCAGATTCTATTGCATACCTTATGCCATTCTTATGAACAAGGCAATGCCAACATGAAGTACTAATCCTTTGTTTCACAATGCTTTTCTTTGTAATCTATTAACTAATTCATGCTCAAAGCTTTCTGTTGTGCTACAACCAAACAATGACAAATGAACTATCCTTAAATAAAAAGACTTGTCTTTTACAAGAAAATGCATTTTCTTTGAAGATTTTACACTCCTATGTTTCATACAGAAGTATACTACATTCATTGAAATCAGAATTCAACTAGCTTTAATTCATGGTAGATCCCTCACACACAAAAAAAAACCAAAAGAAAAGAAAGAAAAGGAGATTAATCCATTCACTAAACATCTATGCAAACATGTTACTTTTCTCCTATCCTAATGGAACCTTTTCCAGCAATCCATTAGAGGCAAATACAACTATACAAGGATGCACATAGCTCAGTTGACATACCAGCATGGCTCAAGTAAACACATTTACATATGGGAATATGGCCCAAACACAACACATACTCTAAAAAGATCGCAGGTGGTGTTATACACAATGCAATCTATCAATTGCATTGTATAAAGAAATACTACAATCATCAACAGCTCATGCAACTATCCAAATGAAAACAGGAGATGAACTTCTGTAACTATCCATCCATGGCCAAATCCACACAATACTACTTGATGCTTTGATCAATCAACCAAAAGAAAACTTGGAACATCATACTAGCTCGGGAATTGGCTAGGCAATCACAGAATTCATTAAAACATAACACAAGATTAGCAGCTAAATGTAACAGTAAACTAAAATCAATAGAACTTTCTTATCCATCCATATCAGTAATCAAAATCTGAATTCAACTTTTGAAAGATATAGTAATGGGAACAAAATCATTGGAATAAAGTGTACCAAATCTCATTTGTTCTAATACTGCAAGTACCAAAATGAAAAGTTACAATTTAAGCAGCCTTCACAAAATCTCATTTGTTCTAAGGCCTTCAAGCAGATGCTGCTGCTGCCTTCTTCCTTGGAGCTGCTTCAGTACCTATAATAATCAAACCAAAATTTTCTTGGATCAGCAAAATTAATCAATCAAAAACTTTGAAATGAATGATATGATGGAAAAGAATAGAACCATAATAAACACTAAAATGGTAAGAGTACAAGTACCTTCTCTGAAGTTGGTCTTAAAACGGCGGGGCACGTTGCGGAGATACCTCATGCGGCCGGTTCCGGTGGTCTTTCTACGGATCGCCTTCACACTCCAGTTGTCTATAACATAAAATTCAGGGAATCGCTCGAAATTAAGCATTTCCACTACAGATAAACGCAGTAAAACAATGAACTTTATCGAAGCAGCTAAGCTAAAGCAAAAGAAGTAGGCTTACACGTCCTCTTGCGTGCAGCGGGGTAAGCACATGCGGAGCAACGGCTCTTCTGGAGATGGAAGCTCCGGCGGCCACACCTCACACAGAGAGTGTGGGTCTTGTTCCTCCTCTTTCCGAAGCTCCCTGTTCCCTTCCCCTGTATTTATCATTACAACGACATATCCACTCAATCACAGATCTGGTACTGTAGGTATACATACACGTCTACAGATATAGATAGAGAGAGAGAGAGAGAGAGAGAGAGAGAGAGAGAGAGAGAGAGAGAGAGAAAAGAGTTTTTACCATTGCTATGCAGTTGCAGGCACCTTAGCTCCCTGTCAAACACTCCAACTCTGTTTATATTCCTAGGGTTTAGGCGATATAAGTACTAATGAGGCTTTCGTTTATAGCGGTTGGGTCTCGTAAATTTGGGCCGAACAGATTAGCCCAATTATATTAGGCTCTTAACCAGGCCCACGATTTATCCTTACTTGCATGGGCTTTAGCATAACTTCGAAATATTGTGTGCTTTCAAAGTTTCAAGTCCATTTATGAAGTGGCAATTTATATCGTGCACCACGGAATATGCGGCAGTCACAAAACACGCGCGTTTCATGCTGATGTTATACTAACGTCACTCTGTCCATCCAAACAGACCAAACTCCATTATGTATATTCAGTTAAAAATTTATGTGTATTGTGTTATGAGTTTATGTGTATTCAGTTATGAGTTTATGTGTATTATGTTAACCAAACTCCATTATGTGTATTCAGTCAAAAGTTTATGTGTATTGTGTAATGAGTTTATGTGTATTCAGTAAGAGTTTATGTGTATTATGTTAACCAAACCACATCATGTGTATTCAGTTAAAAGTTTATGTATATTATGTATTATGCAGATTATGTTTATTCTGTTATGAGTTTATGTGCATTCGAAACAGATGATTTTTTTTAACAACTTAACAAAACGACGTCATTTTGGGAGGCGCGGGGCGCACAGTGCTATGTGCGCCCTGGTGCACGGTATAACGATTGTTATGAAATACGGAGTATTAAACTCTTGAATTTACGAGAAAACTTATCCTACTTGAAAGTGTATTTTAGGTGAAATTATAAAGGACTATAAGTAAATAAACGAAAATTATTCTATGAACTCGAATCTAAAAGTATATAATTTATATACTAAATGTTCATAATTTACATTATAAATGTTCAAGGGCAAGACACATTCAGTTGATCTCTAACATGGGGTGGAAGGGACTCATCTATTTTTAATCAAAAATCAATGGTTCGATCCTTAGCTTTGAGTATGGAGCAGTCTTAAATCTTCATGCCAATTGTTACCATCTAAAAAAGGTGCCTACAATTTAGCGAGCACCAAATAAAAGTTTGGATATTCCATTAGAAGCTAGAGCAAATAGGCTAGTAAATATTGAACAAATGGAAGAAGAGAGTGCAGTAGCAGTCGGCATTTAATTATGGGCACGATGCAGCCTAACTGTAGAGATAGTTACAAAGGCAAAGAAACAAAAGCTTAGGCTGTAGGAGAGTGACATTCCTTCACCTATCCAACCAACGTTGGTACCACTTTCTTTAAAGCTTGGGGCCTCCGATCAACTGTTTTTCCCTAACAACTAAAAGATCAGAAGTAAGAGCATAACAAGAAGCATGAACAAACTATTAAATTATATGGAATATAAAGAATGTATATATTATTGTGTTTGTGGTTTTTGTTTTTCTTTTAGACGTTTAGGTAATTCATGATATTGATAGTTATGTATTTTGAGAATTGTTAGTTCAATTCTTGAATCGATACACATGTTATGATCTTCATAGCAAAACAAAAACTAATAGAAAAAATAATAAAATTGATACAGTTTGTGACGCACTAGCGAGCAAGTACAATACAAAGCATGTAGTACACTCGAGTAAGGTATGAAGTATATGTTTTTCTTTTTCTTTTTTTAATGGGTTGGAGGGGTTAGACCCCAGAAAAAGCAAAGCAGGACTTAGCAAGCACCTGATGTTATGGAAGTTGTAACTGCACCCATTGTATACATACACTTTCAAAAAGCTAGCGAAGATCCTCATGTACATACCCCATCATCCATTGTCCGTGATCATATTTTAACAATTATTTTCGAGATAATCTACAATACAGTTATACTCTCTGTATATATCGTGACTTCGGACTACTTTAACTTTTTACTTAGAGGAATGATCCTCCCTAAAAAGCATATTAAAGATAGTAAGAATCCACCAACCCCACATTACCTAATCTTGATTTGTTTACATAATAACATTAATGAATGGCACAGCATGCACTTGAGCAAACAGACAGTCAACTTAATCCTGTTGTTAGCCACTTTGTGAAGAGACGTAGGTATTCCATCTGCACCCTTGATCATTTGACTGCCAAATCAAACGGCCATTAATTCTGGGGTGACGATCTCCAACTCGATTGCAGGGTGGTGTAGGGGCCTAGGGCCAGACTGGTGATGGTTATAGGAGCAGAAACACTAGTATATAAGCAAGAAGGAGAACAAAAAGGGGGAGCAGAGAAACAAAATGTACCTCTAAACTCCCTTTCTGTTTTTCCCTTTTTTGTCTTGTAAGTTGTAATAATACCCAAATTAAAAACAGCAAAACCTCCACGGTCTGTCGTGTGTCGCCATTCTTTCTCAGCTGTGTTTCTGACACGTACGCCTAAGATGAGCGAGCCATACAAAACGACGAGTACAGTTAAGCCGGCGCAAGTGCTTTTCAAGAAAACCATCGACAAGACAAAGAAGTTCCTACTGAAAACACTCGAAAACCTGAAATCATTCCTGTTTCGGGGCTACAAGAATGCCCACCAACTCCCCCAATCGAAGCCCTTCTTCCCCGGGGGCGTGAACATGATTTCAGACAGCGCCATTAAAGAGCTGGATGATTTGTACAGAAGCTGGTCTCAACAGTGGGAGTGTGAGAAGACAGAATATTCTGGGAAAGAGCGAAGTGTAGGGGATGGAGAATGTGTTATTGGGATCCAAAAGAATGTTAAATGGACGAAAGTTGGTGAAGAAGAGAGTGAGAGGAGGTGTGATGAAGTGAAAAGAAGAGAGGCGTTTTCGCAGTGTGGGAATAAAGAGAGCAGTCGGAGTTTGGCAAAGAAGATGGTGGAGCTGGAGATGATGGATATGGAAGACGATGATCAAGTGATGGACATTGAAGAAGTTCTGGACAACTATTCGAGACTCAACTGCCCGCTTTACCTGGACATTGTGGACACATTTTTCATGGACATGTACACTGAGTTCTCCCTCCCACCGCCTGCCATAAGCCGTGTCAACAGTTCAAGGAGAAGTCTTGGTCCGATTAAGCTCTAGCTAGAACTTGTACATTTATTGCTGCAAATTTCCAGCTGTGTATGTGAACATACATTGCCAACTACAATAATATAATATGCTGTGGAATTGAACGTTAGGTTGTTCATTTCCGTCAACTGTTTATGGTGTGTATTTGGATAGCTAATGCACAATAAACATTTCAGTAATGTAAGAGTAAAAGAGCAATTCTAAGCTGCTTTAAGCCCTTTAACAAATATTTCGTTTTCGTTTTTGAAATTCTTTGCTATTCTCTCGGCTCGAGGGGGTTGGATTTTCAGTACAGGTGACAATCGAGGGGTTTCCATTTTAACCTGCTATAAAATTTAGCAATTTATTTTAAAACAT